AATTCAATCAAATCGAATCGAATCGAATCGTGCTCTCCTCGGTTTCTATCAACAGAAATCGACGACGAATTTCACTACCGAACGGATCAAACGATACAAACCCTAGCGAATGGATATTCCTCTGCATTTCGTCTGTTCTACAAAAACTCCTCAACAAGCTCGCCGAAATCGAATCTGCCATTGGAGCATTCGACGGCGCTCACAATTTCTTGAAAAGCAGAGACGCTACAAGGAACCATAAGCGCATTCCTCTGCTCGAATCCGAACTCTCTGTACGCTTTATCGAGCAGCATCCTAAAGAGCGGATGCGACAAGAAGCTCGTCGGCACAACGAAGCGCTGCCGTTCATCGCCGACGTAAATCGCGAACGAGCCAGTCGGAGTCGTCGAAGGCGACTGAGAATCGTGATCCTCCGGTGGTTCCAGTTGATCTCTGAGCAAACATTCGTTGTACGATGCTTCACCCTCCGTCCCGACTCGGACCTTCACTTTCTTGGCGAGTTTCTTGAAGGAGACCATTTTCTTGCCTAGCATTTCTCCGATCTGCAGGAAAATGGAAGGAAAAATTGCAGAGGCGAGTAGGCTAGGGTTTTTGAAGATGAAGCTATGGATCCATGGACAAGGAGAAATGGAGGGTCTGAAAAAGGATTTTATACTAGAATGGAGCAGGCTGGTTGGGGAAGGAGGAGGAATAAAAGGGATTTTAATTATTATAAATAAAAAAATAATAATAAAAATAAAAGATTTTTGACTTTGACGGTTACTCATACAGTCTCAATTATTCAATCTGTGCCTTTAAATTAAATTATGTCGGACGAAATAGGGTTTTTTAAAGTTAAATTACAACCTCAATTTTATAAATTTTAAAATTAAATTATAAATGAAATATTAAATTATTTAGTATAAGTTTTATTTATTTATTTAAATTTTGAGAATAAATACAAAAATTTAAATTAAATTATGTGGGACGAAAAAAGGTTTTTTAAGGTTAAATTACAAATTTAACCCCAGTTTTATAAATTTAAATTTAAATTATTTAGTATAAGTTTTTTATTTATTTAAATTAATTAATTATTTATTTAAATTTTGAGAATAAACAAAAAAATTTAAGTAAGACATATTGACTTATTTACGATTTGGAAAAGTTAGAAAAGTATGTATCACATTAAAAAAGTCAAATAATAATTTACAATTTTCTCATTGCTTTGGTCTTTCTTATATATTTCCACATTTTAAAAAATATTTTACGAATATTGTGTTCATTAATTTATCCATGTCGAGATTTTCAACTAGTTATTCTCTATATACATGTTCTTTTTACCGAACAAACACTAAATTCACGTACTTTCAAGAACTGACCACCGTCCTTGATTGTTTTGTTATATATTTTAAAAAATATATGTTAAATGACCTACCGACTAATTTCGAAAGTCAATATCAGTCGACTTGTCATTTAAATTCTCTTTTAGAAAAATTTAATTTCTTGGACTTTGACATATTTATAACTTGTAGATTGATAGATTTAGTTAAACGTCTATATTTCATTAAATTATGACGATTATACCCCTATTGTTGGAAGAATTATTTTGTTGGTATATAGTTTGATACGTTGGAATATTCTAATAATAAGGGTATTGATGGAAAATGTGAAATTGAAAGGGTGCCAGCATAAAATATTGGACTTTATGCTCAACCACGCAGAAGAGAAAAAAATTAGGAAGGTGTTTCAGTTTGAAATAATGGCAACCACTTATCATTTGAAAACCCTTTTGCTTTGACTTCCAAATTTTAATTACCAAAATGACCCTTTCACATTACCAAATCAATGACCCACTTTTTTTTTTTTTCAATTTAAAAACAAAATTTTATAGATTAAATACCATTTTTATTCATATGTTTTCTAATAATCCTAAAAATATTATTTAATTTTATATATTTACGAAAAATTTCATTTTTTAAACTTATAATAGTTATTATTTTTTTTTTTTTAATCTAAAACGCTTTATATTTAAAACTTATATAGGTGAGAGTCATTATCCAATATCGGTGCATTTTTTGAAAGAAAATTTGAAAATATAAAAAATTGTAAAATAAAAATTGAAAATAAAACCAATTCTAAAAAATTGAAAATAAAATAATTTATGAAGCTGCGTTTTATAATTAACCTCCACATTAATTAATTAATTAATTATTGGAAGTTACACAGGAAATACCATGTTTCTAGAGAGAAGCTAATGATTGTGGTCAGCATGACCGGTCACCTAATTAATTTTATTTATTTATTTGTAGAAATTATTATTGTTTATTTATTATTATTATTATTATTATTATTATTTATATTAATACTTTTTTGGGTGGGTTGGTGCAGGCATTTTTGTTTGAATGCCTTCTTTGTAAAACTGAACGGTTGAAAGTAAAAAGAGGAAGTGTCTTTTATTTTTTTAATTAAAAAAATAAAAAAAAGTAAAAAAAGTATATTTCTCTCACGTTTTTTTTTATCGTTTATTTATTTATTATTTTACTTTTTAGCATTTTGCTTGTGACCAGTCAGCACAATTAGACACGTTTTTTTATTTTATTTTATTTTATTTTTATTTTCACTGTACTCGTTGGAGGACTTTCCAAAATTGATTTTCATTTCATTTATTTTCTAAATTTAATTTTTAAAAAATTATATAATTGTTTTTTACCAGTAAATAGATTTCAACATATTAAGAGTGCAAGGACTTGAATTTTGAAAATAATTTTAAAAAGTGAATAATAAAACAGAGAAATTCGTGAGTAAAATTATTTATAGCTTATTTTTTAATTCAATAACAAAAAATTAAAATCTCGTGTTATTTTTTTATTTTTATAAATATATATATTTTTAAAATTCTTTTATTCATTTACTTTAAAAGTTATCGATAAAAAAAAAAAGTGATAATAATTTTTTTTAAAAAATATAAATACTACAAAATTAATTAAAAAAAAAAAGTAAAAGACCGTCACGCAGTCATTCATAACACATAATAGGCCCAAATTTTATAAGGCCCAAAAGAAGTGTTCGGCCCAAATATGTCGACATCTAGGGAACAAAATCCTAAGGCTCGCTGTGACCTTCTTCTTCATTAATTAGGGTTTTTTTTTTTTCCATCTCTCCGTGCTCTGTTCTGCAAAAACCTTTTCACGTCTCTTTCGTTCGCTATACACCATGAGTAGGGCAGGCCAGCCTCCGGATCTCAAAAAGTAAGTGCATTTTAACTTTTATCTTGTTCATCGTAATTTCGTTTCGATTAGTTCAACTATTTTCATTTGGTTCTCACTTTCCACTTCTTCTTGCAGATACATGGACAAGAAGCTCCAGAGTAAGCTCTGTTCACCACGCGATTGTTTATCCTATTCGTTGTCGTATTTTTTTCTCTGGCTCAGTTTATTTCTGCAAAAGTTGGTCGAGAAATGACATATTTCTTTCTATAAGTCCAGAGTCCGTCAATTCTGTTTGTTTTCTTGGAAGTTATGCCATTTGATTTGCAGTTTCGTTTGCTGCTGATTAGTGTGTATTTTAGCGCGCACTGAAAAAAAACCCATCTGTTTGTAATGTATGGATCCAGAAGTTGAGTCTACTCAGTCTAGGGTTTAGGGTTTAGTATCTACAAATTTTTTCGGAGACCAACGGAGGAAGGATTATGAATTTAGAGCGTTTCATTATTTGGTACTCAAACTTATATTCATTTTTTTTTGTTTTTTTAAGAGAGAAACATAAATTCTTGCTTAGTTATTTAATTAATGGTCATCTGCTCTAAGATTGAAGAAATCTTACATGTCGACTGTATGTGTATACTAATTGATTTTGCTACTGAACTACATTTTTGCAGTAAAACTCAATTCCAATCGGTTGGTAGTTGGAACTCTTCGTGGGTTTGACCAATTTATGAATCTAGTGGTTGACAACACCGTGGAAGTGAATGGCAACGAGAAAAATGATATTGGCATGGTGGTGCGTAGCAGTTATTTTGTGCTTCAACCCTTTTATGTTTACTTGAATTGTTTAACACCGCCGCTATTGTGCAAGAACTGATTGCCCTTTTTGGTTTCACTTTCAGGTGATCAGAGGCAATAGTGTGGTCACCGTTGAAGCACTTGAACCTGTAAACAGAATGCAATGATGGTGGATGTTGAAATTTAGTTCAATTCTTGCTGAATCTGTTTATAGATTGAGCGGGTAAATCGTTCGGAACTGTAGTATGTATAATTTTGTGATGTTATGGACTTTAGATGGAATTGTTGTACCCCATTCTGGACAGGCGGATTATAAATTCAAACAATGGGATTTCTGTATTATTATGGGAGAAATTTATTGTATTTTGTTAGATCTTCTCACAAAACCTTTCGTTCTTCTTTGCTTCAGCATCAATGTCCATGAACATTGCAATGAATGAATCCCTTATCAATTTAGATTCTGCAGATTGATCTTATTTTAAAGAATACAAAAAGAAATAGTGACAGGACCGATCATTTGCCAAGCAACTTTGCTTTTTGCGTGTCTCGTGCACTTCATTGTAAGTTTTGAAGTTTTGAATTGTGAAATCTTATATCAGATAGAGAGTAGAACGAAACAGTTTTTATAAGGACGTAGAAATTTCTTTCTAGTAGATGCGTTTTAAAATCGTGTGGCTGACGGCAATACGTAATGGATTAAAATCATGTGGTTGATGGCAATACGTAATGGATTAAAATCATGTGGTTGATGGCAATATATGAAGGTATAAAGTTAAGTACTACATGAAGGTATAAAATTAAGTATTATATATGGAGAACTCAAAACTGATTCTAACAGATTAGTGATGGATTTGGCATAGATTCCAACCGATTAGTGATGGATTTGGCTATAAGTTTATAATTCATAATGTGATGGTTTATCAGGATCGATTTTGCATGCACGAGCATTGTGATGGTATGTGATTTTGAGCTTGAATAAAATTTATGATTCTAATTAATCCATGAAACCAACGCGTTCATAATTTTACCAATAATCCTTGCAAGAACAGCTCCCATTTCTAAAATGATGGAAGCGAGTAGCGTCTCGAACAGTTAGTTGACGATGAACAATTTTACTAACAATCTTGAAAAACAAGTGACAATCTTCACATATCCTAAGGTTTTTGATGACAACAACTTCAGTCCCAGCCGTGGTATTCAGAAGTCCAAAGGCAACAGCCAATTTTTCACTATGAACTCCAGCAGCCCCAGCAAACAAATCTTTGTTGCTTTCTTCTCTATCAGCTCTTTTAGCCTCTCCAAATTCCTGCACTAACGCTTCTAACTCCTCCAACACGCTATATATCTCTTCAGCCTGGGGATGGCTTCTATCCCCAACTACAAATGGATGAACTCTGCCCTTCAATTCAACATAGCTACACCCAGGATCCTTCTTCAGCTTCCTCTCCTTCATCATAATCCGGATCCTCAAAACCCCTTTTGAGTTCTTGGTATCATTATAAATGTTTGATAATAACACATAGTATCCTATGTTTGCAGGTTCAAGCTCGACCACACGTTCAAAAGCCAACTCTGCTAACTTGACATTCTGGTGGATCTTACAAGCACCCAGAAGAGCTCCCCAGACGGCACCATCAGGCTCTATTGCCATGGATTCAATGAGATTCCGAGCTTCATTTAGCCGCCCTGCTCTCCCCAGAAGATCCACCATGCACGAATAATGCTCTGGACCTGGTTCCAATTGATAGTTTCCTCCCATCATCTTGAAATATTCCATGCCCTGAGAAGTGAGCCCTGCATGGCTACAGGCAGACAAGACACTCACAAATGCAGTTCCATCAGGTACAATGCCACTCCTTATCATGTCTTCGAATAGCTGCACTGCAATTTCTCCATGTCCATGCATTCCATACCCACCTATTATTGCTGTCCATGAAACTAATGTTCTTTCTGGCATTTCATCGAACAATGCTTGTGCCTTGGTTAAATTTCCACACCTTGCGTACATATTGATCAAAGCATTATTCAGAAACTGATTATTGGTAAACCCACTTGCTTGGATCTTAAGCTCTACCTCACGACCAACACTCTGAGCCCCAAGGTTGGCGCAAGATGATAAAACCCCAACAAGAGTGAAGGGATCCGGGTGAATCCCATGTAACTCCATGTTATGATAGAGCTCCAAAACATTAGTTGCCAGCCCATTTTGTGCGTACCCAGAAACCATAGCGTTCCAAGAAATCAAACCCTTCTCAGGCATTTCATCAAACAGGTTCTGTGCATGATTAACCGAGCCACATTTCATGTACATAGTAATGAAACAGTTAACAACGGAGACATCTGAATCCAATCCATATTTCAAAGTTGAGCAATGCAGAGACAATCCAAGCTCCAAATTAATCGGAGATACACACACTGGGATCAAACTCAGCAATGTAACTGAATTAACTGGGACACCCTCTTCATTCATTTGGCGAAACAAAAGAACCGCGTCAGAACTTTTAGAATTCGAAACATAGCCGGAAATCAAAGCATTGTAGCAAACGGTAAGCTTTCTGGACTGGGACTTTTCATCAAACACTTTACGGGCATTTCCGAGTAATGAACCTCTGCAGTACATAGAAAGCAAACCAGTTTGCACAAAAGGTTCAGATTCACACCCAACTTTGATAATTTGACCATGAAATTGGCCGCCGAGTATGGGGAGCGAGAGGGCCGCGCAGGATTTGAGGGCAAACGGGAAAGTGAAGGCATTGGGGTGATCGCCATGGCGAAGCATTTGGGCGTAGAGACTTAGAGCTTGAAGGAATTGGCATCGTTTTGCTAATTCTCTGAGCCGAGTGTTCCATGGCATTGAGAGAGCGGTCATAGATTTTGATTTGCGATTTCAGTTTTCCTTCCCCATTGTCTAGAAGTTCAATACGCAAAGTTTGAATAAAGAGCGTCGATTCTGCCACGTCGTCAAAATGGACGGTTAATATGTAAACTGAAGGGGATAAGCGAAAAATCGAATATAATATCTGAGTGGATAAAAGATACCGAGACTTCGCAGAGAAAGGGGAGCTAAGAGAAAGGGGAGCTGAGAGAAAATCGTCGGATTTGGCAATGGAGGCATTGCAAATTTCGATTGTTTCTTCTCGTCATTTGGCTTCGAATTCTCAATCTCCTTGTGCAAGTAGAAGCTTGTGTCATGGTTCAAACTGTGGGAGAAAATCCTCGAGTATTTCATCTTCTTGGCTTGGTTCGAGTAATTTGAAGTCGCTCTCGTCGAGGAATTTGTTCGCTGTAAGACACTGATTGAGTTATTTCTTGCATATTTAAGTTGATTTCTGTTTGTTGCCTGGAAGTTATGGCGATTTTGAGGATGAACTTTGCATACTTTTAACCAAACCAATTTCCATTTTTTGTTTTAAAAGGAGAGCTTAAACTTTGCGAGTCCATGCGGTTAGAAATATTAATCTGGAAATGTGGATAAAGAGAAATAGTGAATATTTCAAGGTCTAGATTGCTTTGGAAATTTTTTCCTATCAATGGAGCTCTGTTTTCTGTTAAATGATGTTACATTATAATAATACTTTCTTAGGTTCAGGGAGTTTGTCAAGTTTCCTTAGGTTTGGTTTTGATCTTTTCCACAGAGGGAGATTTGGGGTTGGCTTCATGCCAAGACTGCTAACACTAGGAGAGATATGCGTGGGGTTGTACGGGCTGAAATGTTTGGCCAGTTGACAGGTGGTCTGGAGGCTGCTTGGAACAAGCTCAAAGGAGAAGGTCTGTATATCTTTAGTCCTTTCAATGGGTTTCCGTATATTAAAGTTTCTTTATATATATAGCTACCCTGTACTTTGATGATATATGGAATACTTCAGTAATAGTTGATAAAATAATACAATCAAGAAATAGACGTTGAAGATTTACTAAACACATCAGATGGCAATGGAATTACCTGCACATTGTTCTTGTACTGGAAGCACCTGAGCTGGTAAATGATACCTTACTTGTGAGTCCTTTCACCACTGATGGGATCGGGTGGGGTGGTGGGAGGGTGAAGTGGAGTGGGCTGGGAAGGGGAATTTTTCCTTCTAATGTGAAACCTACTATACATCTTGTTAGTTTGTTTAACGAAGAAAAATGGACTTAAGATAGGGATTCAGCCAAACGATATATACGTGCACACAAACACGTTTTTCATTTTTAGGCTACATTAAACAAGATCTAATTCAGAGGAACTAATTTATTCAGCTGGAGTACTTAATTTTTTTTTCCCGTTAAATGTAATCTGTTAACAGCTGATACTTAGACAATTCATGTGGTTGATGGAATATTATCTTCCTCTAGAGGTTTTGTCAAAGGAAAATATTGTGGAGCCAATGCGAGATATTAGGAGAGCTCTTCTGGAGGCTGATGTAAGTAACTGCTACATAGTTTGTATATAAGTGCTTAGATATAAAATAAGGGACTTTGGGTCATGCTTGGTTAATGTAGGTAAGCCTTCCTGTTGTACGAAGGTTTGTGCAAGCTGTCAGTGACCAAGCTGTTGGTGTTGGAGTGATTCGAGGAGTGAAACCTGATCAACAATTGGTTAAGGTATATAGTTTTACCTTTGTAATCTTGCATTATCCTTCTGCTACAATGTACATGTGGACTTGGTTTATTTTTCAGAAATTAGCTGCCCCTTCAAGTTGTACTTGTACAACTTGTATTAGTAGGTCTCTTGTCGTATGCGAATGCTATCAAATGAAAAGCATGTTCTATTTTCTTTATATGTTGCTTTTGTCCTGGATTTGATGATGTCTCCTTGGGGGAAGCAAGTGTCGAAATCGAAACTATTATAGATTGGAAGCATTTTTCGCATTTGTATCCTAGGATATCTGGGTCTATATTGGTTCAAGGTCGGAGATCACCTGTCGTTGTTTGCATTGGTATGCGCATCAAAAAAATGTTAGACAACATTAGCATTAATTTTCAACTATTGGTGGTTAACTTAAGCGTAGAAGCTATATGACTAGTGCGTGTAATTTCTTATTGAGCATGGTTTTATACTTTTTTATGTAACATTTTTATTGCTTGTAGGTGAATCCTTGGTTACATTTGAGACTCTGGAAAGTTGAATTTTTTTTTTCAGTTTATTAATGTAATTTAATTGCTTAATTAGAATTCAGCTGTTATCTCTTACAGATTGTACATGATGAGCTTGTGAAATTGATGGGTGGAGAAGTCTCTGAACTTGTTTTTTCAAAGTCTGGCCCTACTGTCATACTGTTAGCTGGTCTACAAGGAGTTGGAAAGACAACCGTTTGTGCAAAATTGGCCAATTATCTTAAGAAACAGGTAAGTCTATATTATTCCATCGTCCTTTCTAAGTGTGTGTATTGTGTTGGTTACTCTCTGTTTTTCCTTCTGTCATCCCTTTTAATCGATTTTTTTTTTAAATAAAATTATTATTACTTTTTTTTTTTAACGATGTTGACCATAGGGGAAAAGTTGCATGCTGGTGGCTGGAGATGTGTATAGACCCGCAGCTATTGACCAATTAGTTATCTTGGGAGAACAGGTATGAAATTTCATTCTCATTTGCTTATTGACTACCGATTAGTAAACCATTGTGCTAGTTTTATACGATATGACAAACGAGGCCGAACACAGGTAGTGAGGAGAGATATTTAGTTAATTTGTTTTAGACCTTATTAGGTTGGCACTCGGCAGGAATATGAATACATGACATGTCTGCACGTAGAATAAAATGTAAAGGTTTCTAGTGAAGATAGTGTGAACTTAAATGATCTTATCTGAATTACAATAGTGATATTTAGATTGGATCAACAAACAGTGTACGGAATATTTAACACAAGAAGAGGGACCACATGTTCCTTGATTGTTCTTGTTGATATTTATCCTTCAACATTTGGCGTTAAGGTGATAACTTGTTTAGAAATTTTGTTCAGAGTTGGTAGTTTAAACTCAGGAGTTAAGAATTGTTAGTTAGATGATTTGTTATGAGGGTCAATCTACTTGATCGTTTCCTAAAGCAGCTGCTACCAATACTTCCGGAAAAATGTTCAGTTATAGAATATCGTGAAGTAAAATGGGCTTTAAAGTTTGGCTCAAAAGGGAAATTGGAGATGATTTAAATACTTGAATCGAATTGTGTCAGCTTTTAGATTTGGGTGCCTAGAATTGGAGCTTGTTCTAATAGTTATGAACTTATCTAGATAGAAATATTAGTAATTATTTTAACCTCACTTTCGGTCATGTGAATTACAGGTGGGGGTGCCTGTTTATACAGCAGGCACTGAGGTTAAGCCTTCAGACATTGCAAAACAAGGTCTACAAGAGGCTCGAAAAAATAAAGTAGATGTAGTAATCGTGGATACTGCAGGAAGGCTTCAGGTGCTCATTATTTTTCGTGCAAAGAATACGTGGATGGTCCATCATAATATAGTACTCATTGAAGACAGTCTACCAATCATTTATTATACTTATGAAAAATTCTATTCATTTAAAAATTGAACAGATAGACAAGGCCATGATGGATGAATTAAAAGAAGTGAAACGAGCGATCAATCCAACCGAAGTGCTCCTTGTTGTGGATGCCATGACTGGTCAAGAAGCTGCAGGTACTTCATTCAGCAACCTTGGAAGACCACAAGTATTACAACCGTTTTTCTAAATAACTGAGGACAATTGAGCCTATTGCCATCTAATGTTGTTTTGCAGCCTTGGTCACAACATTCAATATAGAGATAGGGATCACAGGTGCTATTCTGACAAAGCTAGATGGAGATTCAAGAGGTGGAGCAGCTTTGAGTGTCAAAGAGGTATGTCCATTTCACTAAACTAATGTACATTCACTTGTTCAAGAATTAATTTACTGGAATATTTTTTCTTCTAGCTCGGTTCTTTTTACGTACTCCATTTTCAGTATCCTCAAATTCAAAATAGCACTGGATAAACTTAGCAATATTCTGTTTATCAATTAATCTTTTTTACAGGTATCAGGAAAGCCAATCAAGCTTGTTGGCCGTGGAGAACGTATGGAGGACCTTGAACCATTTTATCCTGACCGTATGGCAGGAAGAATCTTAGGAATGGGAGATGTACTCTCTTTCGTGGAGAAGGCACAAGAAGTGGTAGGTTGTAATTAATTTTGTTTCACTTTCAGAGAAGTCTATAGTTTTTTAACTCAAATTGTGTATATAGATGCGCCAGGAGGATGCAGAAGATCTGCAAAAGAAGATAATGAGTGCAAAATTTGACTTCAATGATTTTCTGAAGCAAACTCGTGCAGTTGCTCGAATGGGATCCATGACTCGTGTCCTTGGAATGATCCCTGGTATGGGAAAGGTGGGAATGCAAGCGTTCTGAACTTCTACATCATAGTTTCTTTGTACCACTAATAAGATACACAACTATTAGGTGCTTATGTTTCAATTTACTAATAATTCAATGGGTATCACCGGACTGTTCCCATGTTTCGGGGCATACAATTTCATGGATTTGTCTGCTTTACTAATACTCTGGTTATTTCACATAGGTCACTCCCGCCCAGATTCGGGAAGCAGAAAAAAGTTTGAAAATAATGGAATCAATGATTGAAGCAATGACTCCTGGTATTTTCTCTTCTCCTGCTGCTTTCTTCCATGAGTTAGGATTTCATGATAAATCATGGATCACATGCATTTTATGCATCTATTTGCATCTTTATTAATAGAAGGTGTGGATTAGTCTAGATCTGGTTTGATAATCATTTAGTTCTTGAAAATTAAGATTATAAACACTACTTTCGTCCGTTAGTTTCTTTATTTTGTCGGCTACTTTTTAGAGTGTTCTAAAAAATCGAGCTAAATTTTGAAACTAAAAAAAATAGTTTTTGTTTTTATCATTTGGCTAAGAATTAAAATGTTTAGTTATGAAGGATGGAAACCATGGTAAAGAAGTTGTAAGAAAGCCCGTACAATTCTCAAAAATCAAATGGTTATCTAGGGACCTTAATTGATTAGATTAGGTTTTTTTTTGCTAGATGAGAAGTTTTCCTCAATTTTTCTGATCAAATATTGTTCCTTCTGCTTTATTGATCTCTACTCACTGAACCTTTTTTATCTGACAACTTTTCACTTGTTTAATGACAGAGGAAAGGGAGAAGCCAGAATTGTTGGCAGAATCACCTGCAAGGAGGAAAAGAATTGCTCAAGATTCGGGGAAAACAGAGCAGCAGGTATGTTAAGTTCTTTTTTTAATGCAATTTTTTTTTTTCATCTTCACATTAGAACTCCCCCTCCGCCCCCACCTCACATAATGTGGATATCCACTGACAAAGACTATTTTTATAAAATACTAGGTGAGCCAGCTTGTGGCTCAACTCTTCCAAATGCGTGTTCGTATGAAGAATTTGATGGGTGTGATGGAAGGTGGATCCATTCCAGCATTGAACAATCTTGAAGAAGCTCTTAAAGCCGAACAAAAGGTTCCCTGTTTTTCCTACCCTTCTATTCTTGATCTATATTTTGGTTAGAGCTTGAAAAAAATGAACTATCTCTTGATCAATTATTCAGTCCTTGTTTGGATATGTGATGATATTTGGTTGTGTTTTCATCAGGCCCCTCCGGGTACTGCACGAAGGAAGCGAAGATCAGAATCAATGAAGCAACTTCTAAACTCAGGAACAAGGCCAAGTCCTCGTGGTTTTGGGAGTGGAAACTAAGCAAAAGCTTATCAAGAGATGCATAACAAAAACAGGTTAATGCTTCTTTGCTCGGATGTCTTTATTTACCATCGCATTAGGTATTCCAATTTTCTTGTTCTGTAATTTTACTACACACAATGTTCCTGCACTAGGCAATGAAACCTTTTTTTTTCTTGCTTGTATAATATTATAAGTTTGTTAGTTTAGACTTTAGGATTTGGGCTATCAAATTAATCACAGAAACCAACGTATTTGGAAAGCTTTTCACTCCAGAAATAATCTCTTAAGAAACTTTCAGGTTAAGAAGTCTAAGACATTAGAATGTAATGACCAAAAACATGATTTGATGCCCCCCTTTGACCCTTATTTTGTTTAGAAAGAGAACTAGAAAGTCAATCATGAAGGACAAGTTTATATCATCCAAAATTGTGGTTGGAACATTGAAAAGCTGTTGTTTGCAAGAGCCGGAAGGTAACTAGTGCATAACAACGAACATCTGTGGATTCAAATCAATGTATCATAGCAAGGGGCTACTTAGCCCCCAAGTGGAAGCCTTGTTGGTAAGTGTTCGGAATTTTTGAACACTCCTAGGTTCTAAGTTTGAGCTTTAGGTAGGTGCTTTCGCTAAGGGGAACTATTTCCCATGAACCCTAAAAACCTTAAACCCATAACTAGAAAATCCTTCCCTCACCTTCAAGAAATCTCCTGAATGATTAATTCTTTCTCATATAATCATCTAAAAATCCCATACAACAATTTAAGTGACATCATGGAGAAGATCTTAGAGAAGAAATCTTGATATTTCTATAAATTCATTTAGAAATTGAGAGGAATTTCATAGATGAAACTTTTGTTCCTCTAAATTTTCACGAATTCATTAAGAATGTCAGGTAAGTTTATCGTCAATAAATTTTAACGTTCATAAGTAACGAGAGAATAAATTTTAAAAAAACGTTAAAAACAGTGCTAATCTGAAACTTCTTCCTCAACAAGAACTAGATTGAAAAGGGTAAAATTTTGCGTTACAACTTTTTAGATCTATGCAATCCGGAGAGCTAAGTTATGATTTAATTTTCCAAAGATGATTTAGAGGGGGGATTTGTGGAAACATGGTCAAAGTGTATGTTGCTTGCATTATAATTCAAAGCCATGGAACTACCGAGGATCTCTTCATTTTCAAGTATCAAACACTCCATAATTCAAAGTCGTTCCGACATAAAAATATCTGTATCCTTCTGGCATTAAAAAACAAAATTCTTTGCCAGATGTTTACCACTTCCATTATGACATTGTAATGTCGTTGTTTATACTCTTTGACCAACTTATTCATATTAATGGTTCTTCCCAAGTTCTCTCCTTTGTTAACTTCTATATCTACAACCTCTTGAATATAGTCAAAGTCTATATTGATTAGATGAGGAGAAGATTATAGGTATGTGAATGAGAACAACCATCTCATACAGTATTTTGGATGAAACCAATTGGATGAAACCAAATAAAAAGTCTGGAAAAACTTTTACTCAAAGTGGACAATATCAATACTATGTAATGATAGGACGATTGATGGCTTTAACAACCATATTTTAGATTTAAACTTTTAATTTTTCTTTTCCATTTTGATGTGATCACGTCATTTTCTTCAATGTCGTACTTATTAGATAGACATGAGGTTTCATCTCAAGAGCATTTGTAAATAAGGGATGACCCGTTTCTTGATGCTTTCGACGTGAGATCCAACATGAGTTGATAGCTCTTTAGGTTTACCATTGTTGGGTCGGATCCTTCTTGGACCGAATGCCCATTTAAGTTTCACGGACTTTGATATCATATTAGATAAACATCGGAGGAGAGAAACCAAACTGATAACAAATAACATTACATTGTTGGAATCAAAACTCAATTTTCAAAGCCAACCGATGAGATGCCAGGAAGGCAAGTATTGACCGTGTTCAAAGAGCAGTTAAAAAGAAGGAAAAACCAAACAGTAAGGTAATTAGTCAAACATTCCCACTGACTTTTCCATGAATTCAGGCTGTCATTTCTTCAATAGGTAACTGCAACTGCCAGAAAAGTCTTTTCTTTCTTTTTGGGTTCTTTTGACATTTAGCCATTGAAAAGTCCTCAAGCCAAGCTTAAATTTTATTTTATTTTGTTTATGTATTAACAGTACTATAATAGAATTGTTTGCTTGAATCATGTGTAAATCTAAGAAGATTATTAGATGTTTGAAATAGATTCGTGAATTTTAATTTTTTTTTTAAATAGATCATAGGTTTATTGGACAATATTAAGAGTTCGGTGGCTTATCAGATACAAAATTAAAAAAATATTAACTTTAAACAGCCTATTAGCCATTTTTTAAACTAGAAATGAACAAAATAGTTAGTAAAATAAATAAAATACTTCAGAAAGTTCATAATTTAGAAGGAAAATCTATAAATTTATAATTTTAAGTAATTTTTAAATGTTATAATTGAGACATTGGGGACATTCTTTGACGCAGCCCATGCATGGAACAGTTAAGTGGACCATTAAAAACTATAATTTCTACTTCTTTGGGGAATAAAATAATTTAATATTATCATTTGCACAAATATTCTACAATATAATATTATTTTTACATTAAAATTCTCAGGAGTTTTATTTATTTATTTAAATATTTTTAGTAATAAATAAATTCAGTATGAGTACATAGTTTCTCTCTATATTTTCCTTGTTTGTTGTCTTTAATAGTCCTTTTCTATTTTTTCTTAAGTTTCTTATTTTCTCTGTGTTATTTATTAGCTTATTATCTTAGATTAGAATAAGTTGATAGGACCATTTTTTACGTCTCCATGTCCCTCCTGTGTGGTGGTATGGGACGCACCTCTACCCAGTCAGGAAATTAAACCCAACTTCTTTCTTTCCCGTTGATGTGAGTTCTTGGAGAAAATCAGTTTGTTATCTCTAGAATAACTTTTATCCGTTGAGTGACAACCCTTCTACTCGGCAATATCATCACAATAATTTAATTACCATTGAATGACCTGAATTTTAAATATATATATATATATATATATATATATATTATTATTATTATTATTATTATTTTTTGTTTTGTTGAAATCTTGGATTCTAGTTATTTATTTTCCTTTTTGTATTCTCACCTATTTCTACCTTAAGGAAACGAACTTTTATGAAAGAAATTAATTGTTCACGTGCTTCACATAAGTGAAGCGTGAAATTGTTAACATTGCATGAATAATAAATCTTGCCCTATTCCTATAGTTTGTGTGCTTAAATTAAGCTAAATTACTTTAAGATAACAACATTTATCTAAAAGTTATGTCGTGTTTCTCAACTTGAACTAAGAACATTGCTTAGCTACTACACTTGCTATTTAATAGACTTTTTTATTTCACGACTTCACCTGTCATTATTACAATGAATTTTTCATCGTAGTTTCTTCGTGACAATTTTTCGAAGTCTCTTATATCATTAAAGAACAAGAATGTTCAATCCATTATTGCAATTTTCTTACGCCCGTGTATACTAAAACTTCAATGTCTTTTTCCTTCTTTCAAAATTGTCTGTTTTTTTTTTAATATGAAAAAAGAAAAAAGATTCTCATATAAAGAATTTGACTTTAAATTATGTTGCTATTAAATTAACTAATTAAGTTTGTCTTAAAAATAATAATAATAAATTTTGTGGGAATAAAATTAAAAAAAAAAACATTAAAAATAAGTGGGCCCAGCGGAAGGAAACAGTAGGTTTGAATCTACCCAATTAAATATTTTTTGGAAAATAATTATGTTGAACAGAAAAAAAAATTATGTTGTAGTATAATTATAAGGTCTAATCAATTTTTAATGACACGAAAAATATGGCTATATAATTACAAAAAAAAAAAAAAAAAAAAAAAAAAAAAAAAAAAAAAAAAAAAAAAAAAAAAAAAAAAAAAGCATTTAAATTAAAAAGGCTTTTCTGCACCTAATTGGCGCACGGAGAACACCGAGGAAGACAGAGAAAAGGATCTCCATACTCATTATTCATTCAATTCAAGAATTCTTCTCTTTTGCATCTTTCAATTTTCTCTGTTGATTTCGATTTCTTGTATGATGCCGCAGGGCGATTTACAGGCCTTCCTCACCGGCGGTGTTGCTGATGAACGGAAAGCCGCCACNGCCGACGCCGACGACAGAGAGCGGATGCCATTGGAGGAGGAGCCAGATCGGCCAGAAGTTCCTCCTGACTTCCCACCGGAATCTTTCTGGCTCTCCAAGGATGCGGAGTTTGACTGGTTCGATCGAAATGCCTTCTTGGAACGGAAAGAATCCACTAAGGCCAGTTCTAATTCCACGAATTTGAATCCTAATTTACATACGCAATCTAATTCGAATTCGCAGCGGTTTTCGTTGAATTTGAAGTCGAAGGCCTCGATTATTGGATTGCCGAAGCCTCAGAACACTACCTATGTCGACGCGAAGAATCGACGAAATTGCAAGTCCGGAAACATACGGTTGTTTCCGAAACGGTCAGGATCCGGTGGAAAATCGGTTTCGTCGATGATCGAGCCTTCTTCTCCCAAGGTATCGTGTATGGGGAGAGTGAGATCGAAGAAGGACCGAAATCGGCAGAAGAATAATAATCACCATCACTCATCAGAATCAGAAATAGCAACAAACGCAAAGGAGAAACCAGTCGAGAAACAGAGGAAAGGATTCTTCGCGAGTTTCCGCGCTGTTTTCCGGAACAGTAGAAGAAGGCAACCAGTCATCGAGCCGACTGCATCTTCCCTCACTAACTCGCCTCCCGAACAGGACATCAGAGCATCTCCGCCGCGGACGACGGCGTCACTTCCAAACAAGATCGACGAAACCGAACCGCCGTCCTTGGGCGGTTTGGAGCGATTCACATCGAGTAGAAGATCCAGTTCGTGGAGCGTAAACGAGGCCGGTAAAGACGTGGAGTAGGTGTAGAGCATTGACTCTTCCGCCATGCGAGGGATCATCGCGTAGTTAGTGCACGCCATCGGGGCCCACCGGAAGATTTTACGGTAGGACCGAATCCGATCGAATTTGTCGTCGGATGAACAATATTTCTACTCCATTGTGATCTGAAAGGTAAAACGTCGATCTCATACTCATAGTCCTCCTTTTTATTATTAATAGGCGAGTTAGTTCATGTGAAGCCTTTTAATATATATATATATATATTATATATATATGCTCGAGTTTGAAAAAATATTACTTATAAAAACGGAAATTTTATCATAAATAAATTTATTAATTGAGTGGAAAATTAGTTGAACAATAAAATTAAATATTAATGGACACAATCATATTGTGTGATGTATAGAGAATTGTTTGAAATGTATTAAATTATGGGAGCCAATGAGAGCAATCTTTCTAAGAAAGCACTTAATTGAAATGAAATAAATATAAAATTAAATATTTAAAAATTAAAAGCAATAAAATTAATATAATTTTAGGTCAAACTAAATATAACTCAACTAATTAAAATCGCGTATGATAAATATGACAATGAAAATTTAAACTTCTAATTTCTCCCCGGTCCCATTTTTTTATTTCAATTTTCATCCACACAAAATTTACTAATTATTTTTATTTCAACTCACGTGCAATATATATATTCATTTCATATATATTTTTATTGTATTATTTCAATTTTTCAATATAATTTCTAAAAATAACATATAAAACATCATAATAAAATACAATAATATTTCAAAAATATATAATATAATATTATCTTAAATTTAGTTTTAATCGATTGAGAAACTGATTTTTAGTATATTTATTGACTAATAATATATTGTGCTTAAAGATTAATTTTAACTGGTAATTTTTATAGTTTTTATTTTTGTTAAAGAAAAAACTTCCCTGTTGAGTTTTATTTCACACGCTCCGATTGTATGTAGAAAAAAAAGACAAAAACAAAACCGCGCGGTTCGATGTTTAGATGTTCGCTTGAATCGATCAATCAAATAACAAAAGAAAGTTCCCCAATCAATCGTCTCAACTTCAACAGCGTCGCTGGAGATCTGCGAAACCGAACTCGCACAGATCAGGAGGAAAGAAGTTCAGATTAGCACGATCATGGATTATGCAGCGCGTAGGAGTGGAGGAGGCCTCCTTGAAGGGCTTTACAGAGTAATTATGCGCCGGAATTCCGTTTACGTCACCTTCATTATCGCCGGCGCTTTCGCTGGAGAGCGGGTAAGGATCATAAATCATCTCTTTATTGTGCACTGGATTCATCTTTTTGGTTCCTTTAGTTACCTGCTTGCTGAGAGATAGAGAGAAGTGAGAAGAAAAATACAATTTCAGTGGACAATAGACCATATTACTTTGTCAATTGGTTTATCTGGATTAGCGAGATTCGGATGTAGGAACCATTTCTAATTGTCGAAATGTTGAATTCTGAAATTAACTGGCTTATTAATGTTATCTTCGTTTTGTTAATTCGAACCGATAATCTCCATTGCTGAAAAGGAGAGGAAAGAAAAGAGCAATTTCTTGGACGTTTTGGACAGAAGTTGCTTTCTGGAAGGAATTCGGTTTTTGATTTTGCGGCTGTGAAGAAATCTATGGACTTGAAAGTTTAATATGGAACCTTGAAGATCTAATGATATGCTTGTTTATTTTCATGTAAATTCGTTCCCGCTAAATGATCTCTGTAGAGTTTTAGCGTGTTTTCTTTTGGTTTATGCAATTGGCTTGCCAAACCTCCCCATACTAGGAGAATTCTTTCATTTGTTCTTCTTAGTGCTCGTTAAATCTGAGGGGTGAAGTATTTCATCATTTTGGGGTATGAAAATTTTGTCAACCGTTTTCACATTCATTCTTCTGTACCATTTGCTGGAACATGCATTCCATTACTTGCTACAAAATTATTTGGCGTTCCTTAGGCTTATTTTTTAAAATTATTTAGGTTTTCTGGGTTGTGTAGGACTATGAACATCGGTATTAGCTTCTTACTAGTTTTGGCTTTCCTGTTGTAGGCTGTGGATTATGGAGTTCACAAGCTCTGGGAATACAACAATGTTGGGGTATGACATAACTATCCTTTGGTTTACTTTTCTCTAATTTGAATTGTCTTTGCAAAACTGTTATGAAACTGAAGTCGAAAATCACTACCTCATTTCACATATCACATTAAACATTAAGTTTGCTTTCTGAATGGGACCAATTTGTGAACCTTTTTTTTGTTTATTATGCTTATTTTTACTGAGAGTGGAATAAAATGTTCAAAATTTTGTGTTATTTTTTTGTTTTTGTACATTCTATATGCAATATATGAACCAAAACTATAAAGATTACAATTTCATTGTTGTTTTCAACATGTTGAAACAAGAATGAGAAACCAATTAACAGGAAATTGGATATGCTTTGAAAAAGTTAGAAATGAGAAATGGGAAACATTCCTAAATATAAATGTTTTTTCAACTAGATCAATAAGAACAATGTAAATGGTTAAGGGCTTAAGGGAATGAGTTTAATTATGGTGCCTTGATATACTACCAAGTATTTTGTCAACTATATGTAGTAGGGTTAAGTGGTTTTCTTGCGATAATAAATGTTCATAAGGTGATTGTTTGGCAACTTACCCCTCTCGAGTTATTGGAGGTGTTTCTTGGCATACATAAGTTTTGCAAAGTAGTTGCCAAATTTCTGAGATAGAACTTCAACCTGGAAACTTATTACTATAAGCAATGTTTGTGGCTGAGTATTAGCTTTGAATTTTGATTGTGTAACCCTTTTTGCTGCAGAAACGGTACTACGACATTTCGGTTTTGGGGCAAAGACAATCCGAAGAATGATAATTGCCTCGATGATTCGGTTCTCGCCATTTCATTGTTTATAACAGTCCTCTAATTAATTTTTTTGAAATAAGTTTTAGATGTTGGATTGTGGGCACCTTATATATTGACTCTTGAGCTTGGTGGTCTCTTTCGATGTCGTTTCTCATTATTCATGTTCATCTATGAAATTACCAATCAAATGTTCCTCTTTTATCGGGCTATATTATTACATAGCAAATCTAGTGGGTCTAGACTTATACAATCACAGTTTAAAATTGTATGATTATAAGGATATCTTGGTATGGAGTTGGATCATCGGACTCGATGATGGCTCCTCTTACTAGTAAAGGGAATTGGACGGGATGATATTGGTGCTACCGCTTACACTCTTGTTAACATAGACAAGTATGCTTTTTTTTTTCTTCGAGGAATTGTCTTCTTTAACTCGGGTATTTTTCAACTCATACCTTCACCTAAGAAGTTAAAGTTTCTAATATTTTTTTTTTACCCTCACATATTTTTAATTAAAAAAAATGATTAATTGAGCAAATAAAATATTATTTACCTCGGTTTAAGTTTAGACAAATAAAATTAAACATTTAAATAGTAATTATTTATAAAGATTAAAATGGAAAAAATAATTAAAAAATAAGTTTTAACCAAAATATGGTATTTCTTTTTTGGGCATCCGGGACCATCCCTGTCGTCTCTTCCGTATTGATTTCCCCAGCAGAGATTCCACCGAAGAACTTTGGATTTGAGGTCGCATATTTCTCTCTCTATTCCCTCTGACCTCCTCCATTGAAGCTCAAGCTCGCTTGCGCCGGCGTCGCACAATCGCCGCCTGCTACTGGTCTGATTTCTCACAACCTTTCTCTCCGCTTCTTCTTTTTCTAATTTCCTCTTCCTCTTCGTATTTCTAGTTTAATCACACGAAACCTTCTCCCCTTTGCACTTGATGGATATTATTTTAATTCATTTTTTATGGAATCGACATTTCCCTTTGCAGTTTCGAAGGCGAGAAATTAGCTTCATTAGATTGAAATGAAGTTCCAAAGCCTTTGTTCTACAAGAAGTTCCAGTCTCTGTGCGTTTCTCGGAGTTTCGAGCTCTTCTAATTATGGAGCCATGAAGCTTGGAATCATTAGAGCGACGACTTCACTATCTTTCAGTAATCCGGCATTGGCTTTCTTGAGATATTCGCATGTATTGTGCTTTATTGTAACTTGTAAAAAATTTAGCTATCGTTTTGATTCTGGGCAGGATCCTCAAGAATGACTGTTTGCGCGGTTAGTTTCCGCCCTTGTATTGATATTCACAAGGTATTTTATCTCTTGTTTGACTACATTCCTCAATTTCCACAGATTTATTATGTTAAATGCCTTTTTGAATTGTGCAACTAGTGGGATTCAATTACGCAATTTACAACTTCAACAACTTATTTAAGTACCGAAAATAATAATCAATACGGCTTCTAATTCCTTGGTTAAAGTTGGAAAATGTTGTGTTTCCTCTGATCTTAATCTGATTTTCATGTTTGAGATATGATTTTATAAGGGGAAAGTGAAACAAATTGTTGGATCAACTCTCCGAGATTCAGAGCAGGAGGGATCAACTCTTCTCACCAATTTTGAGTCAGATAAATCAGCTGCAGAGTATGCAAACTTGTATAAACAAGATGGGCTTACAGGTGGTCATGCCATCATGCTTGGAGCAGATCCTTTGAGCATAGCTGCGGCCATCGAAGCATTGCATGCCTATCCTGGTCTGTTCTTTTTTTTTTTTTTTTCCCTTGTAATGTTTAACAATAACATTCTATGGCGCTTAAATTCCCTGTTTATCTCAAATAGGTTGGTTCGATTTTGTTGGTGTTATTAGCTCCTCTTAGCTAGTCATTCTTGGTTTTATTTAATTATAGTGTCATGTTGGATGCTGTATCTACTTGTGGATATCTTTAGATGTATTTTACCTGGCATCCAAGTGAACATCAGTGTTTGTTTGTGGTCTATTTAATTTTCGGTGATTTCCCTGATTTCTTATAGTCTTGACAGTTTTTGAGGATACTCCTGTGCACATAGACTCTATGGTCCTCAAAGATTTTAAGAACTTTCAGAATGTTACTCTGCTTAATCTAATGCTATAAATGATGAAACATATAGGTGGCTTACAAGTTGGGGGTGGGATAAATTCAGAAAATGCTTCTCGTTATATCGAAGAAGGAGCTAGCCATGTCATTGTTACTTCAGTAAGTTGTTTCCTTTTATCTATTTATGATATCGCTTAATGTATTAGCCATATTGGAGGCAGTGTAACACGATTCTGAAATCCTGCAACACTGAACCTCGTTGAGTTGTTGTAGTAGTAGAATATAGAAGATAATTAAGATGTCATTAGAAAAGTTAATTGGTCTTTCAATGTTTTGGAATTTCCCATTTAATATGTTGTATGTTTCTTGGTTCTATCACAGTATGTGTTCAATAATGGACAAATGGATCTTACAAGGCTTAAAGATCTTGTTCGTATTGTTGGGAAGCAAAGGCTTGTGCTGGATCTTAGTTGTAGGAAAAAGGTATTTCTTTTTATTCTATTGTTGCTGTGTTTGGAAGCTGTCATGGCTGGTTAACATCTTAGTTATGGTTAGCCCTTTAAGCATATTATCTATCATGGATTCAATCTGAGAAGTCACCCGAATTCATCATCTGCACTCAAACAAACAAACATCTTACAAAATAATTTTGTAACTCGTGGACTGGACGAACTTTAAAGCACCTTCTTGCTCTATTTTTTATTCAACATTGCCCTTTTCAATTTGGGGCTTTGCCTACATTTGTTTAGGCTCCTGTATTGATTATCATTTAGTTTCGATTTAGGAAGGTAAATACGCAATCGTGACTGATAGATGGCAGAAGTTCAGCGATGTATTTCTCGATGAGGAAGTACTGGCTTTTCTGGCTGACTATGCAGATGAGTTTTTGGTCCATGGTGTCGATGTCGAAGGGAAAAAGTATGTCATAAATGCTGCTATTATCTTGGTGTGGTTGTAATAATTTATATATCCTAACATCTATTGTTTGATGAATATAGACTTGGCATTGATGAAGAGCTAGTGACATTGCTTGGCAAGTATTCATTGGTTCGTCTACTCCCTCACATTGCCTTCAAATTTCTTTCCTTTTTTGCCTGTCTGCTCGAAGGACAAGTGATCGATAATGATATGCTAAACACTGATATTACTTTTGAAAAATGGCAGATTCCTGTCACATATGCAGGTGGGGTCACAACAATGGCTGACTTAGAAAGGATAAAAGATGCGGGCAAGGGGCGTGTGGATGTTACCGTGGGAAGTGCTTTGGATATTTTTGGGGGAAATATGGCATACAAGGATGTTGTTGCATGGCATGCCAAGCAAAAGGTACCAACAGTTTAGTACCCTCCTGTTGTTTGCTGCATAATTTTGTTTACTGCTCTTAACTCTTACTTAGGGAGTGCTTTTTTAGACACAACCCAGAAGTCCGAGTGCCTTGGACATTCTTTATTCACCCAAAGATCTTAACGTTTCAAGTTCCTCATTAATCTAATGTTCTATGTTATATTCATGTCTGAGATCAGGTTACGACTGTTTTTTTTTTTTTTTTTTTAACGTTAGGTCCTATCCAGGGGATTACGACAAAAAAGTCAAGTGAACTCTAAGAGAGAATAAATCATAGCTACAAAAAAGGGGGTTCAAGAGTAAGTAATTGATATTCTTAAAAGTCCATGTCCTGTCTGGATAACGTTAAGCCATAGGATGTTCTTGTCCTTTTTGGAAGGGTGTCCAATCATAGTGATGGAACAAAGGGTCCAAATGTCGTTTGGTGGAGCCATAGATCATCCAAAAGTCTCCTAAAATGATAACCCAGATTGTTCTTGCAAAAGGTCAATTACTGAAGTGGTGGGAATCAGTCATAGATGCTGATCTGCACTTATAACAGTAGCTAGGAATTGCTAGGAGTGATATATGGACGATGAACTTGTTATTAGAAACCATGAACCTATATAATGATTTGATATTTTTCACTTTGATCATGAGCTCTCTCCTGACTTTGCTTTTGGTTTCCCAAAAAGCCTCATACCAATATATATGTATTTCATACTTATAAACCCATGATCAACCTCTTAATTAGTCGACGTGGGACTCCTCTTCCAACAATTCTCACCAGACCTCTCTTTGAAGCATTCCATGTGTGCTTAACCAAGAACGTCCGAGTTCCCACATAAAAATCCTAGACTTTCTTAGGGTATTTGTGTTTCCAAATGGAGCAATGAAGCTCTTGTTTCCCATGAATCTGGCTACGGGTATGAATAGGAATGAATGTTTGTGCTTGGATATGCAAGAATCAAAATTTAATTATGAAATTTAGTGGGGGAAATTAGTTGATTAATTGAGTTGATCGACCATTTTGATAATGAAAAATGGCACTACATCCCTCGTGCCCATTTTGGAAGGAGCTAATAAGCATCAAGCCACCATATTTTTCAATAATTATACTCATGAAACAAGTTTTATTATGCTAATATGACTCATTAATCTTCTCTTACCCTCTAATCTTATCTTTTACAATTTTACTTCTACAAACTAATCCATTTTAGATGCACAAATTTTTAAATATAGTTTAATTAGTTTAGATATTGTATTTGCAAAAACTTTCAAGGATTTTTGTTTTTAAAAAATATAATAATTATTTTTAATTATAAACTAGAAAAAAAAAAAGAAAAAAAAAAGGATAATGTCGAAGCCGTAGATTTTATGTTACTTTTCCCAACCCACCTTCTTTTCTGCTATTATTCTTTTACTTTAATGTTTAATGGACTAAATATTTCTTCACTAATCTTTTTAATTAAACATAATCATTCACTTTTTACGCCTATGATAATATTATATTTCTTATTCCATTTTTTTTAAAAAAATAAGATTGAGCGGGTCGAACACATTTAAAATTACAAAACCGAGAGTTGGGTGAATTTCTGTAACTCAAGCCCATCCCTATCCACTTTGTCCTGTTACGTATTGTCGTCTGTCTACCTCACAGTTTCGAGCTCTCCACGCCATTATAAAAAATATATTTAGTTTAAAGGAAAAAAAAAAAAAATCATGTGGCAAAAACTTCAGTGTTTTCTCATTATGTTTAAAGTGTGTCTTTCACTTTGTTTGTATATCTTAAACTAAAAAAAGAAAAAGAAAAAAAGGAAGGAGTTAGCTAGCAAGCAACTTCACTTTCCGGTATGCTTTGAAGAGCAGGCTTCCATCTCTGTTCCTCAGCTTCCTCCAATTCTGTGCAACTAATTTCCCCACTTCCACTTTTTATCTTACAAACCATTTCATCTCCCGAAATCCCCCCTCTTTCCACCATCTCCTGCAGCTCCTTCTTCGTCATAACCAACTTTATTCTAACCACCCGCCCCGTCCCCCCGCCGTTCTCGCCGCTTTCTTCCTTCTCCGAATCCGCGAACCGAACCGTCTTCTTCGGCTTTTTCTCCGCCGCCTCGGTGGGGATCAGAAAGTAGAGGTGGCCGGCGAGGAGCTTGGCTGTTGGGTGGAGATGCTGGGACACTGGAACGGCGTCGGAGATTTGGTGGCCGGAGAAATCGGAGAGAACTTGGAAGACTCTGGTTGGGGATTTGTATTCGAGGATCTTGCCGTCGGTCTTCATGATTCTGATGGGTTTTTGGTCGACGAACAAACAGTTGGAATTGCCCATTGTTTTGGTTAAGAATGGGATAATGGGAATTTCTCGTCTCTGCAACTGAAGAGAGCGTAGTAGTGCGATTCATTTAGGATTTTGCCTATTTAAAGATCCTAGCTTCACTTTTTGCCCAAATTCCTTTCCTTTATTACACAAATGCCCTTCCCCCCATTTTCCCTCTCCCTCTTCACCGTTCCATTTGTTTTTAATTTCAAATATTCAAATTTAGGTAATTAAAACCACAACCAAAAAATTAAAAGTCATTATTTATACCAAGAAAGAAGTCGGTGACATGGTAACAAGGGAGCCAACGATCAAAGTCTCAATGAACGACGACCGTAACTATAACGGTCTTAAGGTAGCAAAATTTTTTGTAGGATAAATTCGTGGTTCAATCATAGAAACTTCATAGTTAAATGTATTTTAAACAATAATTCTATATTAGTGGCTTCCTAACAGTTTTCCTAGAACTCACTTGAAGACAAAATATGCTAGTATGACTCGTGTTAAAATAATAACATAACCATGTACGAAGAATGTAAATGAACATTAGAACGAAGTGCAATTCTCGAGAATTGCACTCAAAATCATGGTTTAAGAGCAATAATTATGATGCTTTCTAATGGGTTGGTTTAGTAGAAAAGGAAAGTGGTTGAAATGGGAAACCCATGGAACTTCTTCCTATATAACTTTTAATTTAAAGTAAGTATTAAATATTTTTCCACACATTTACATCAATTTTTCATTTGAGCAATAATTACCGAGGTAATAAAATGTCTTAAAATACATTAATAAAATACAGTTTATCATCTACGCTAAATTTCCAAAAAAATCTTGAAATTTATGTCTTGTAGATCAATAGATTAAAATTAATTATATTTTGTTACCTTTTATATTTCATTCATTTTGTATTGTTTTAATTAATATAAGACTATATTAGCATTTGAATTTATTTGCGATGCATGAATCAAATTATTAGAGTGTGAAAATAGTGGAGCGTGTGAATAAATTGACTAAAATAAATAAATAAATAAATAAAAAGAGGAGAGAGAAAGAGAGAAAGAGAGAGAGAGAGTGAGTGGGGTTAGTAACCTCAACTAACTAGGAATGGGAGAAGAGATCAAAGAGGAAGAAAGCGGGCCCGGCCCATCAAATCAAACACCCAATCTTGGTTGACCACTTCCGCGCGTTGACTCTATTTTGACTTAAATAATTATTTATCAAATTTATTTATTTATTTATTTTTTTATTTTTTTTTTTTATGATTCCAAATCAAACACTCATTTAAAATACTTAAACATATTAGATTAAATTAATACTAATTGGAATTAATATGAAACATTATTGATATGTTTGTTGTTATGTTTGAAATTGAAATTTTATAGAGATTTTGGAGTTTAATTATTTGTTTATAAAAATATAAAAATTGGTTAGTTTTATGTTAGATGGCACTTTTGTAATTACGACCAATTTACTATGTTCTCATCAGAGAAAGTACGGATATTATGCTTACCACATGAGCTTTTGAATGGTAATTGACAAGCACTCTTTCGTTAGGATCGAAAGTTCAATCTAGAAATTCAAAATTGATATGCTTGAAATCAAACCATGACCCAGTTTGTCTTTTGGTCGAGAGATAGTTTTGGAGGGAGTTGAAAGCCTAAAACCAAAATTCATGATGTTGGATTAAACTACGACTAAGCTTGTTTCCACTCGAGATAGCTTTTTTTTTTTTTTTTTTTTTTTTTTTTTTTTTTTTTTTTTTTTTTTTTTTGATTAATACCAAATTGAATTGCTTGCCATAAATTGAAATTTTAAATAATATCTAATATTGTATTTGGAGACTAAAAATATCTAAGTTTCTTATAGTGGGAAACATTAAAATATCGTTGCAAAAACTTTATTATTATTATTTAAATTAGATTTGAGATATTTTAGAAATATATATATAAAATAATTGGCTTTCTTTTCAGGCTTATAGATTTGAGATATTTTAGAAATATATATATATAAAACATTTTAGATTAAATTAATAAAAATATCTAAAACTATTAAATCTTTTTAATAATAATCTTTAAATTAAATATTTTTTTAAAAAATAATTAAAAAATATTCTTAATTCCAATTTTGGATGAATTAGTTAATATTTTATTTCAAAAATAAAATTAAACTTTTATTGGTAAAACTTCAAAAATAACTTTAAATTTATTTTAAAAAAGATTTAAAATACGTATAAGAATAAAATTTTATTATCTTCATAAACTTTTAAGAGTAATTAAAACTCTTAAATTTTTAAATTTTTTTTTGGATGAACCAATAAAATAAATAAATATATATTATATTACTCTAGTTCTTAAATTTTAAAAATAATTTATACTATTTTTAAATGTTACATTTTATTAACATTTTGTTTATAAGTTTATATTTTTATTATTTTAAATTTAATTTTTATTTAGTTATAGATTTTAAAATTTTACTATGCTAATACTCACTCCCTTACTAATTAATTAAAAAATTAATTAAGTATAATCAAATAATTAATTGTTATTTCTTCATCTTAAATATTTCCTTCATATTTTTGAAAATCAATTAATTAATGTCAATAGAAATTGAAGGTAAGATTGAAAAATCATAAAATTTAAAAAATTAATGTAAATATAAATATGAATATAAATAATAAAGTTTAATTGAAGATCCATTTGCGATTTAGATAATTCAGGCAAAAATGTCCTAAACCATAAACCCTATCAGAGACGGGTTTTGGAGAAGGAATCTCTGCAAATATTGTTGATGAAACGCCGGAAGCTGATCGGATTCTGATCGGAGACAGATTTCTCAGTTTCCCCATTTTCGTGGAGCTCGAATTTGTGATGAAGAAGCTCCCACCCATCCTGAGAAAGCTTCAAACCCCTAAATCATCTCCCCCGCCGCCATTGCCCGACGCAATTTTGCCCCCTTCTCCTCGAACCCTTCTCGCTCCTCTTCCTAGTTTCGCTCTCTCCGCTCCCCACCATTACGCTCAACTCCTCCATTTCCTGAAGACCCACCTCACGCTTCCCTTCACCCCGAACAATCTCCTCCATTTCCTCAAATCCAAGCTTCATTTTCATCCCAAATTCACCCACTACGATTTCCATATATTCAATTGGGCTTCATCCATTGATTCCTTCCGCCATGATCACTCTACCTTTGCCTGGATGGCCAGAACTCTTGCGGCCACGGATCGTTTCGCTGAGCTCAAGTCGCTTCTTCAGTTCTTAGCTTCCTCTCCTTGCCCCTGCTCTGATGGTATTTTCTCTTGCCCTCAAACGGAATCCATTTTTCAATTTGCCATTACTGCCTATTGTAGAGCTGCGAAATTTGACGAGGCTGTTTTTGCTTTTGATTCCATGAAAAAATTGATTGATGGGAAGCCTAGTGTTGTGATATATAATATTTTGATTAATGGGTTTGTGAAATCTGGTAGATTTAACAAGGCTTTGGGGTTTTATGATAGGATGCTTAGTGATCGGGTTAAGCCTGATTTGTACACTTTTAACATTTTGATTAGTGGGTATTGTCGCAATTCACAATTTGCACTGGCTTTAGAGTTATTTAAGGAGATGAGGGAAATGGGTTGTTGCCCAAATGTGGTGAGTTTCAATACTCTGATTAAAGGGTTCTTCAGGGAAAGAAAGTTTGATGATGGGATTGCCATGGCTTATGAAATGATTGAACTGGGATGCAAATTCTCAAGTGTTACTTGTGAAATTGTAATGGATGGGCTGTGTAGAGAAGGCAGGGTTCATGAAGCATGTGAAATTTTGATCGATTTTTCGAGGAAGCGAGTTTTGCCGAAGGATTATGATTACTTTGGAGTCATTGAGAAGCTTTGTGGGAAAGGGAATGCAGGGAAAGCCATGGAAGTTGTGGAGGAGCTTTGGAGGGAAGGAAGTGTTCCCAGCTTCATTGCTTCCACCACTTTGATTGATGGACTGAGGAAAGAAGGAAGAGTGAATGATGCAATGAATATAACAGAGAGGATCCTTAAAGAAGCAATGGTTCCTGATAGTGTGACTTTGAACTCTCTTCTCCAAGAGCTTTGCAATGTGAGGAAAACAGTGGAAGCTAATAGGTTGAGGTTATTGGCTTCAAGCAAGGGATTTGAACCAGACAGCAAAACGTACTACACCTTGATTTCTGGTTACACCATGGAAGGCAACAAGGTGGAAGGGCAAAGGGTTGTGGATGAGATGTTGGATAAGGAGCTTATACCTGATATTGCAACGTATAATAGATTAATGGATCGGTTGTCGAATGCGTATGAGAAAAGATCTATACCGTCACGATATCCATCAAGTTCTAAGCTCGTAACGTCAACGTAATGACGAAACAAGCAGAGGTGAGACAATTGCTTCTCAAGTGCTATGTATGATTGCAGATAACTCAGGTGATATGCCAAGCATGGACCATTCATGTTTATACAATCTGCGCTGATCTATGCTTGAGCTTGACATCTCCATTATGCAAAACTTGGATTTAGAATGTTTCTGTGGATGGATTTGGGGTGGAATTTATGGTGGGCGTTTACTAGGGTTGCAAGATGTAACCGCCTAAGTCTACTACTAATAGATATTGTTTGCTTTGGCTCATTACGTATCGTCATAAGTCTCCCAGTTTCAAAACGTGTTTGTTAAGGAGAGGTTTTCACATCCTTACAAGGATTGCTTTGTTCTCCTCTTCAACCGATATGAGATCTCACAATTTTTCCTTGGGGCCAGTATTCTCGTTGGTAAACTGCCCAGTGTTTGGCTCCAATACCATTTGTAACAGCTCAAGTCCACTGCTAGCAAATTTTGCCCACGGTTTTAAAACACATTTGATAGGGAGAAATTTCCACACTCTTACAAGGAATACTCCGTGCGATCACACAAAAGAACACAAGCATAGGTGAATGGTGTATGGACACTCTCACACGTTGATGCTGTCCGAGGAACGGAGTTCAAATTATTAATATTTTAGGTAAGAAAAATGTAGGTAAATTGTTGAATTTTGATGAATTAAATAAATTTTATTATAGAATGAATGAAATGGACAGAGTGCCTACCGTCCAAAAATGAAATTAAATATGATGTGTAGTAAAATAACGACATGTCGAGTTTCTTTAATAGAAGAGATTCTTGTTTGGTAGTGAGTGGACCCACTCTATAAATAATGTTCTTAATGATTTGAGGCTCTTATTATAAGGGTGAAGCATTGGGAAGAATTATATGGTATAGTTGTCCATGCGAGCTTAATTTAGGGATAATTGATATATACTATTTTATTTGATTCGAGATTCGAAGCTCGATATCTCACATTTGTAATTTGGACTTAGGTCTTGAAGATCGAGAGTAATTTTTATTTGCTTTTACTACTAAATTATGCACGTGTTAACAAAACCCAACTATAATTTATTAGTTCTCTATAAAATATTTTGAGTTCATGGCCATGAATTTGAAGAAAGATTAAACTCGAGTTTACCGTTCTAGAAAATAGATAGGTTTTGATGACAGATAAAAAACTGTAATCTTTTCGATATGAGTTGCTAATCAATAGATGGATGACAATTGGAAAAAATCACATCATGGGTAAGATTTGTTTCACTTTTTTAGCATCTGAATATGGGTGTCCCATGTAGTTTACTTTCGTTGATGATATCATATATCAAACTAGAGTACTCTCGTCTCCCATACGATACCAATTATTGATGTCAAAATCTAGTCAGAAAACATCTCATCCAACCTTCCCATGTCTCAACAGTAAATTTGTAATTTAGAAAGAAAAAAAAAGTAAGCTATAAAATAGTTCAAGTTCACTGCTAGCAGATATCGTCTTCCTTAAACTTTCCCTTCAAGGGGTTCTTCTCGAAGTATTTAAAACGCGTTTGTTATGGAGAAAGTCTATCTCTACTCCAATTAGTGTCTTGCACTGTTCGATGGCTAGCTTGATACCATTTGTGACAGCTAAAGCCCACCGCTAGTAGATATTATATGCTTCAGCCCGTTATGCATCATCGTCATCTTCACGATTTTAAAAAGCATATGCTAGGAAGAGGTTTCCACTATCTTTATAAGAAATGATTCGTTCCTCTCTACAGTTGATGTGAGATCTCAAAATGTTATAAATGATATCACGTCAAGTCACCGAGCAATGTCAGTGAGGATGCTGGGTGTCCAAACCAGATGGATCGGACTCCCAAGACAAGTGAATTATGAGATGTCATGTCCAATGAGACTAATTAGGGTTTTGAAAAAAGCTGATCATTTCAAGGTTCTATATGAGAGAAAGTAGAAAGACAAGACAGATTGGAACTATTATCCAAAGCCTTCCATGCAATTCCATCTATCTTTCTGAGATGTTTTTCCATATAAAAAGAAAAAAGAAAACCCATATTTTTGCAAGATGCATTTTAATTCTACATGAATGAGTTGAACATGATCATCAAATCAAACATCCTAGATCTAATAAGCTCCAACAAACAACAACCACAACGACAACAACCTTTGATGATGATGATGATAATAATAATAGTATATGTTTAACAACCGTTTAATATACTCAAATCTCCGGCAGCAGCAGCGGGGGCGGTGGTGGTGGTGGTGGAGGCGGCGGCAGCGTTGTTATTCGGCGACGATCTCTTAGCTTCTCGAGCCAAAGCCTGGCGAGCCAACACGATCCCGGAGGGGAACAAAGAGGCTTCAAATGCAGAGCCGTCGATCCAATCCTTCAGGAACTCTTCTTTTCCCCACTTGTCGGGGATCCAAACGTGCCCGGCCACGGCGAGACGGTGGCGCTTTAACCTCTCTCGAGGGGAGTGGTCGGAGGTGTGAAGGTTGTGATGGCGAGAGGTCTGATCTGAGTGTTGGAGAGGGAGAGTCATAATGTGTTGTGGGTAATGGAAAAGATTGAAGGTTGGGGTTTGATTATGATGGAGGTGAAGAAGAAGAAGAAGAGGAAGAAGAAGGGGTATGTTATGTTATGTTATGTATTTGGTAAGTAAAGAGGGAAAGGGAATGGGTGGAAAAGTTGATATGCACGTCATTCAGCTCTAACATAAACATCCGATCTTCATTTCTATGGTAACTGACAAATCAACGTGTCTTTTCTCTGCCTCCATTCCATTCCACTTGTGTGCCACAATCTTCTCTCTCCCTCTTTCTCTCTTTGTGAGAGAGAGGGGGAGAGAGATTTTTTACAAATGGAGTGAGGTTGTATATATATATATATTACAAATTATAGCAAATAAAATAGACTATCTCTAGTTATAAGAGAAGATTTGTGCATAATAATATTCTATTCCGAATGCATAATTAAGATACTTGGAATGAAACTAATGAAGATTCAATTATATTTAGTCAACTTGCGACAACGTATTAAGGCAATTCCATGAACATTTACTTACTTCAGCCATTGCAGTATTCTGCTGAAACTACTGTTGAGCAATTTTATCAAACGGAGAATACAACTAACTCAAGCTCTTCAGCTACAAACATATTTCATATTGTAACTACAGATGAGAGACTGAAAATAATATGAGCTATTTATTACTCAACTAATATACAGAGTAACAAAACCGAACAACGGTATACAGATACTACCACCTATAGCAGCATATTATATGTACGTAGGAAGGAAGGTCGCGGTGGCAAAGAAGAGCTAAACGGGAAGAAGGCGATTAAGCTCTAGGATAGCGTGACCGACCTTTCTTCTTCAAGAATTCTGGGATTTCAAACGAGCTACCTTCGTTGAAAGAGGAAGGTCCACGGTTGATTCCTGAATAGTTTTCTCCCTGTGATAGTTGACTGGCCTATAAAAAAGGAAACAAAACGGGTTCATCTTAAGCTTTAGCACGCTTTTGTGTATCTTGTCACAGACCTATACACCAGAATACTGAATTTAACACCATATTTTATGCAGACACAACAATACCTGAACGGGCCTTCCTTCACTTTCTTCTTGGCGCTTAAATCCAGTGGCAATTAGAGTTATACTAACCTGAAAATGGAGGGGTGGAGGCAGTTTATTAATTAGTTAAATCATCATTATGGTCATTTATATCAAATCCATAGGACCAGACCATGAAGAAGAAAGACATCATTATGGTCAATATCCACAAAGTTGGGATTCAAGTTCATATGGTTCACTTCTTGGACGGTAGGAAGAAATAAAAACTTTAGCACAGTTTTAGTATGTGGATACCCAAAACATCAATGCCTGACTATCAAATCCAAATGAAACTTCAAATGAATTGTGGTAGAACTTATAACTTACTTGACCACTAAGTGAAGGATCTATTACTGCTCCAAATATTAAATTAGCAGTTGGATCCACGAGGTCATATATAACCTCAGCTGCAGCATTCACCTGTGATTATTCACGAGAAATTTTGAGAACAAACAAACATTACATGATATAATAGAAATACAGTGATTCGTATCAAGTTAGAATTTTGGTTAAATTACAAGTTTAGTACCTCAACTTTAAAGTGTGTCTAAAATGATTTAAAATTTTCTAATCTTCTGATTCTAACTTTGAACTGTTCGGTCTTATTATTTTCAACATTCGATTCTCAGTTTCTTAAGTTTCGTTGGTTTTGGGATTTAGGAAGAGAGAATACTTGAGATTTTATATAAAGGGACTTAGATTAGTTTGTGGGTACGAATTAATCTTATGTTGTTAACATGATGAATCTACAAACTACTATCTGAAGGCTTGTGGGTACGAATTATTGCATGCATATATGTTTGTAGGTATTTTCTTAAGGATATGTGTCATCCTTTCTGTATCAGGAATCTTTTTAGTGACGTCTTCCAAGTGAGTAGTTTCCAGGATTTGTAAGGTGGGCCTTACGCGACGTGGGCTAAGAATTACAACTCCATATTGGTAACGAGAGGAAAGAAGTAAACTCAAACATCATAATTATCACCAGCCACTACATCTAGCTATGGTTCATAGTGAATTGTATCGATGTCATAAACATGGTAGATCAAACATATGACATACATCGGGTATATAAATTATAAATAACGATAAGTGATTAAACTTTTAAGAGCAGTGAGATAAAGATGCATAAATAGGTTGTGATAGGCAGGTGAGAGGAACAGAGAGAGCCACACCTCATATAAAGTCAAATCACTTCCACCCGTTATGTTCCACACAATTCCAGTGGCCCTTTCTATGCCAATATCCAATAAAGGTGATTGGATAGCGTTTAAAGCAGCATCTCTTGCCCTTGTCTTTCCTGCATCGATGTAAACAAAGGGTAAAATTGGTTTATATTAGAGCAGCTGATCAAATATTTTAGACTTTGGAGAGAAAGGGAAGGGAGAGAAAGGGAAGGGAGAGAAACATCTCAATAGGGAAGGATTTGGTTATATCATGCTGGTTTACCCCAAGACACAAGCTTGTTTATCAAACAGGTTACATAAACTCACACTTACGATATCTATCTTTTATCCTACGTATTAGTTTTTATAAATCTTAGTTTTCATAATTCGTTCCTTTGGACAATCCAAACACAAGTTACACAAATATTATATTATAGCCTTCTCTAATTCTATTCAAGCTTTCTTCTTTACTATGTCCAAAGGCCACTTTCTTTGATGCTGAAAGCTATTAGATGCATTCTTCGGGACATTTGATTGGAAAAGAACGGTAGATTTTTTTCCAAATGTGAGCAGAGACAGTGGAATGATGTGGGGTGGGGGAACATTATTTGTATAGCTTCGTCTTGGTCTTACTTGAATAGGCCTTTTATAGCTTTGATCTTTTTCTATGATATCTACCAATTGCAGCAATTTTTGTTGTTCTATTGGTTTTTCCAGCTCAGTGCCTTCTATGTTACATTAATCAATGAAATGTTCTACCTTAAAGAAACACAAGAAAAGGTCAGATCCATGGACATTAGAAGGATACTATTGTGAGATCCCACATCGATTGGAGAGGGGAACGAGTGCTAGCGAGGATGTTGGCTCTGAAGAGGGGTGGATTGTGAGATCCCACATCAGTTGGGGAAGAGAACAAAACATTCTTTATAAGGGTGTGGAAACCTCTTCCTAGCAGACGCGTTTTAAAAACTTTGAAGAGAAACTTGAGAGTGAAAGCCCCAAAGAAGACAATATCTACTAGTGGTGGGCTTGGGCTTTTACAACTATCCACCTCAATCTATTTGGATCTTTGATAATACGGAGGAAACCGTGGGAATTCGAAGTATCCAAATAAGGTTTAGTTTCTCTTACGAGAGTTGAAGAATAATGAAGCAACTCCATAAGTTTTAACATTAAAGGTCGTTGATAAAATGAAAATTTTGGCAGCTCAAAGTTGAGACCAAAAAGAATTAGATCAGACTTCATACATGAAATAAAATCTTGTAAATCAGTAAAATTATGCATCTTAGAGTTACCGGTTGCAGTTCCTATTCCCATCAACGAAGAACCAGCATTTGCCATAATAGCACGAACATCAGCAAAATCTACATTTACCAGCCCTGGTATCTGATTGTTGCAATGCAGTAACAAACCATAAGTTAGATCCCAAAGAGTGTTTATAAATCACTTCTACTGATAAATTTATGCCTAAAAGACATTTTGATTTCCCTCAAACTGAAAAGTTATCTCAAAAAGTAGAAATACATATCCAATAAAATCTCCTGGTAAATCTTGATAACGCAATTTTGACAAATTATTTTAAAAGTAGAGGTTTTCATACTCTCAGTAGACAAAACCACTAAATAGAAGAATTGAACTCCATAGAAAAGCTCTCTAAAAGCACAGAGAATCTAAAGTTCAAAGTTTTTGAGGTTTGTATATACCATGATGATATCAGAGATACCACGAACACCTTGCCGAAGTATGTCATCAGCCAAATTAAACGCTTCTGTTACAGGAGTAGACTGTGAAACTGCTGTCAGTAACTTATCATTCGGGATAACTATCAGTGTATCAACTTGGTCTCTTAAAGTTGCAATTCCTTCTTGCGCTTGAACGGCTCTCTTTCGTCCTTCAAAAGAGAAAGGAGTAGTAACAATACCAACTGTCAATATGCCCATTGACTTTGCAATGCCTGCAATGATAGGAGCCCCTCCAGTTCCAGTTCCTCCACCCATCCCAGACTAAAGCATGGAATTTAATCTTGAAGTTAGAAAAGAAGCTAGGTCGCAGTTCAGGTATATATAATCAAACTTGAATGATATAGTAAGGGAACGATAATTTTAAGAGCTAAACAAGCTTAACTTACAGTGACAAAAACCATGTCAGATCCATAAAGTGCTTCTTCAATAGCTTCTTTACTTTCGTTTGCAGCATTCATACCAATCTCAGGGTTCCCACCAGCACCAAGACCTCTGGTAAGTTCTAGACCGATTTGTAGACGGTTCTCGGGATAAACAGGAGACATTTTCAATGCTTGAACATCTGTATTAACAATCCAAAACTCCACACCCTGCATTGAACTTTCTATCATACGATTAACTGCATTTGATCCACCACCCCCCACACCAATAACTTTAATCTTTGCCTCATTGTAATTACTACTGGATGCATCTTCCAAGCTCTCGGAAGTAATTCCACCCAAATTGTCCTTTCTTGGGCTATTAATTGTACTGCTTCCCTCGCCTCTTAGCATTGAAATTTCAGGGTGTAACTCCATAAATGGATCCCTGTTCTGATAATGGCTAACATTGTGAGAATTGGAAGAAGACTTGGCCAAATTTGATTTTTGATTGATACCCACTAACCCACTCCTATCCTCAGGCATTTTCATGTAGCATTTCCCCGACTGATGCTCCATAGATAGTCTGCCTCCAAGAGCAGACAGCATTCCAACAGGGTTTCGAGTAAGAGAGAAATTCATCGACACATAACTAGCCATCATCTAACACTGAATCAATGCAGCTGAAAATGAAAAGAAATTCAGATACATAAAAGGTCTAAAATTCAGAAGATTAGTGGCAGAGAGACAATCTAAGGGAAATGTAACGAAAAACAAATTGTAGAAATCAAGATTTCGCAGAAACTAATAAATGAACTCTGACTTGCAAAAGTGTATCTAATCAACCCCACAGCTGAAGAACAGAAGAAAACTCGAAACCCATTACACATTATCAATCGAATTCAATAGCAGAAGAAAATTAGAGCCGATAAACCGAGCTACAAGGGAAAACACACTCAGAGCAGAGAAAAGACAGAACTTCAAAGCAAGATATCGAAAAGGGAAAATGCGTAATGCATTAAGGGCACCTGAAAATGCTTCCCAGTAGTACCGATAATCGTTGGAGAGCGCTATGAATGCAAAATCCAAATTGGGTCGAGCGCTTTCCGCCGAAGAGATACAGAACGAGTAATAATCTTGATTCTTGCGCAGAGCAAGGGCAAACAATAGCAATTCGGTTCAACTAAACCCCCGCTGCCTCTGCTCAACCGCAGTCTAATCTTTTTCTACTAATTACTAATCACTAAATTACAAACTAAATGCCATAAACTTAAAATTGGAAGAAATTTTTTTTGTTTTTTGTCACAATGATTATACATGTAATTTAAATTTTAGTCATGCAAACTTAAGCTATATAGTCTTTATCTATGCAACATGGAAAAATCTTTACCAAATAATTTTACCCTAAACTTTTTAATGCATATCCATTTTGCTCTTAATTTTGTAGTGAATGGTACATTGAGGTTAAATTTTTTACTAAGAAACAAAAAGAACATAAAAATGAATTATATGTATATGGTTAAATAAATACATTTTTAATGAAGGTGGATTATAATTAATTAAGTACTGTTTACAAAAATTAGATAAATTTAAAGATTTTATAGATATTTGAAATGTCTTCAAAACTAACTTAAAATTACTATCTAATTCAATTTGGGAGCATACAAAATCCAAGTATCATAAAGTCCTTCCTTCCCAATGCAAGTAGCTATATTATCAACATGTGAAGAGTCAAATGTTGTAATGACGAGAATGGATGATCAACCCAACAATTGGCTATGCGATCCACCAAAAGGCTACAACAGTCCAAAGCCGAAGTTTAAACAAAAACAAGCGCCGATCATCTTTTAAAAGCCGTGAGGCTTTCTCAGCTGCCGCTTAGTTCACAGATATAGAGTAATTTGAATGGTTTATGGGTTTGATTTCATTTCAAAGGACAGGGTAGGAAAATTCAACAACGGTTTCAGTAATTTCTTTCCTAATCTTGCTTCATCAATGGCTTTCCCCACCTCGCTCCCATGCCAGATGTTGTCAAAGTATATCTGGTACTCAACTCAAATGTGTTGGGAAATGGTAAAATTACATCTTTTGGGATCTTCTTATGTCATATTCTTCTGCTATCTGCTAGAGAAACCTCCCCATACTGTTTCAACTCATATGGTAGATGGTTGGGAAGGAATCCTACGTTGATTAATTTATGAAATCATCATGGGTTTATAAGTATTATAAGTAAAGAATACATCTCCATTAGTATGAGGCCTTTTGAGGAATCCCAAAGCAAAGCCACAAGAGCCTTAAAGGGGACAATATCATATCATTATGGAGAGTAGTAATTTCTAACATAATATAAGAGTCATGCCCTTAACTTAGTCATGTCAATAAAATCTTCAAATATCAAACAAAGAAGTTATGAGTGAGTCTTGAAAGTGTAGTCAAAGTGACTCAAGTATTGAACAAAGGGTGAGGCTCCATAGGCCTTAGAGGAGGTTATAATAGGATTTTTTAAAAGGGATCTCCTTTTGGATGCACCTCTAGTAAATGAAAATGTACAACAGATCAAACATACATGATGTACACGAAACAAAGATAACACTATGATTTTGCATCTCCAGGAAGACAAAATGGAAGCGAAAAATATGAGTAGACAGAGTTAAAGACTAATAACTTCTTACACTCTTTCATCCGATCTTTATCATTTTATATCGTATCAAGAAAAGAAAACGATTCATAAAGCAAGCAATGTAATTGTAGTTTTTGTTCATACTTGAAACTATAAATTCTTTTTAAGCTCCTTCGAGTTAAAGGAAGCAAAGTAATGAAAGGAAGAGCAAAGTTGAGGGAATAAAAAATTATGCATCTATGCAGAAAAATGCGGAAAACTATTTATCTATTATGAAAAACTCAGAAAGTCCTGAAAACTTAAACCGTCACTTCGGATTACGAATCAGACGCATTAGGGTTTTCAAGAACGGATTTCTTTCCATCGTTTCCGACGATTTCTCAGCAACCAAACAGGTCAAACAAGGTCAGTGGTCTCAAGATTAGGCCGATAAGAGAGAATAGAATAAAGCAGATACCGAGACGAAATATTTCCGACATAGCTTAGGGATTGAAATGAAATCAAAGATTATTGCAAGAAAACGAAAAAGATCGTCGGAGTAATAAGTAATCACCGTCGTTCATCAGCCACAGACGAACAAAGGTATGCACTCCCCGGACGCACATCCTCGGCGCTTTGAAGAAGAAGCGTGTCTTATCCGGTCAGTAGCTTGGAAAATCCTCGCCGAGAATGGGATTTGGCGCCATTCTTGATACAGCAAGCCAGATAATTGAAAAATGGAGGGAAAGGTATAGTCCTGTCGGGATTTTTTTTTTTTTTTTTTTTTTTTTTTTTTTTAATGGTGTCAATTTTCACATTTTTAGGGGTTTTTTATTTTATAAATTTTCTTCAATTATTTGATATTTTTTTTAAAATTTCTTTAGAACTTTATTAGAAATAAATTGAATTAATTTTAATATGCAAACTTGAAATTTTAATGGTCTTTGAGAAGCTGATAATTTTAATTATATATATATATATAATTTTTTGTTTTTAATTTCAAGCATATGAAAATGGTTAAAATTTCAATTAAAAAAAGTCAGTTATTATTGAAGTTTGGGATTTTTTTTTAAATTAGTAAAATAATTAGTAAAAATCTAATATGAAAAATTATAAAATTAAAAAAAGGTAAAAATATGAGAAAAGGATTATAGGGTTTAGAGCATAGCATTGGTCAATGTTTGAAAACACATTCCCACTCCCAACTTTCATTATTTTCATTATTATAATTTATTTATTTATTTTTTTTTTATTTCTTTCTTTCCATCGCTTCCTTTTTCTCGAGCAATGGAATGCGAAGTTCCGATTCCGATCTTATCTTTGTTCGATTTCCATATGTTTTAACTTCCATCTAATCCCTAATTCCTCGTTTCGCCGGCGAATTGCTATGGCCGCCGTGTTCCAGTTCGATCGAGACTATTTTCGTCTCAGTATCGAGTAAGCCAAGTCACCTATTCAGGATTTGACTCTTCTTTTTATTATGTTTGCGTATTTCAGTTCATAGATTAACGCTTCGATTACTTGTATAGAGAATTAGATTGGCGATTCGACCTGTTCTAACTTCTTCTATCTGGTTGCGTCAATTTGTTTGTTTCTGTTTGTTGACGATCCGATTTCCTATACAGATTGGAAATTCGGGGGATTTTGAGTGAGCATTATCGTTTTAGTAAAACCCTTGATTATAGATTTCATTAAGACTTTAGATGTGAGAATATGTTTTTGTAGATAATTTCTTTTTTGTTCTGTTTTCAGATCCAGTACTTCATTGGGAAGTTGTCTTGAATTACTTGTGTCAATTTGATTGATTTTGGCGATACGAAAAACCCGTGTTTATTCGTTCTCTTCTTCTTATTAACTGCTGCAGATGGTACAGATGATGAACACAGGCCGACTTTTGTTAAAATCCTGTAATTGGGTGTGTATTCATGGCTTTGGGTACTGTAATTTGATGTTGTGTGTAAATTTCTGGAAGTAATTGCTTCATCTGTGCTTACTTTATCGGAAATGGAGTATCTTCCTGTTGAAGTGATCGGAAACATACTTTCCCAGCTCAGAGGTGCCCGAGATGCAGTGATTGCTTCGGCAACTTGCAAGAAATGGAGAGAGGCTTGGCGCAATCACCTCCACACCCTCTCTTTTGATTCTCATGATTGGCCTGTCTATCATGAACTCTCAACCAGCAGATTGGAAATTCTTATAACTCAAACAATATTTCAGACAACTGCGCTGCAACATTTAGCAATTTCAATGGATGAAGTTGATGAATTCTCTGCTGCACCCGTGATGGCTTGGCTCATGTATACCAGGGATACTTTGCGCCAACTGCACTATAATGTGAAGACAACCCCGATCTTTAATATTATTGAGAAATGTGGTCGACAGAAGCTTGAAGTGCTGGCATTGGCTCATAACTCTATAACAGGGGTCGAACCCAGCTATCAGAAGTTCCCTTGCTTAAAATCTCTTTCACTTAGTCATGTCAGTGTCTCTACATTGGATTTGAGCCTTCTTTTGACCACTTGTCCTAAACTCGAGAAATTGGCTCTGATCAGTCCGGACATTGCTATGTCTGATATGGAAGTTAGCAGTTCTTCATTGAAAGATATATATGTTGAAGCAATCAGTTTGGACAAGTTTATATTGGAGGCTGATACCCTTGAAGCAATGCATTTAAAAGATTGTACCCTTGAGCTGTTTGAAGTAGTTAGCAAGGGAGCTTTGAGAGTTCTAAGGATTGATGATGTTAGTGTTATCCATCTTGACATTGGTGAGAACACGGAAAATCTTGAGGTTGTAGATGTCTGCAACTTCACAATTATGTGGCCAAAATTCTACCACATGATCTCTAAGTCATCGAAGTTAAGGAAGCTTCGGCTTTGGGGTGTTGTATTTGATGACGACGACGAGGTAGTGGATTTAGAGACTATTTGTATGTGTTTTCCTCGGCTAAGCCATCTATCACTATGTTATGATTTGAAAGATGGAACCCTTCAGCATAGCTTGCAGGGGTCATCTCATTTGTTGAATGTGGTAGTGCTTGAGCTTGGATGGAGTGTAGTTAGCGAATTTTTCTCTGAATGGATGGGAAAACTTCTAGGAAGGTGCCCCAATTTGAAGAAGTTGATCATATGTGGGGTTGTTTCTGAGGTCAAAACCCATGAAGAATGCCAAACTTTAGCGAACTTCACTTTCTCCGTTGTCCAGTTGATGAGAAAGTATGTGCACGTAGACGTTCAGTTTGAATATGAATAGAAAGTTCATGGATGTCTCCAAATCTACTCAAGGGTCGTATGAGAATGAGATTATATCCACCCCACCCCATGAGGATTCTGACGATCCTACTTGTTCCATTGTCAATTCTGAAATCCTTTGTGTTTCTTTACAAGCATTCATTACTTTGAGCAATTGTCAATTGCAGTCCTTGTTGACAAATGACGAACTTTTATTTTCTTTTTCCACAGAATCATTTTTTAGAGACTTCCTAGGATTCATAATCTATGTTCTCTGATTTTGTATATTTTTCCAATGTCCCCTGAACTCCTTAAGCAAATAGCATTGATAAATCATGTGCATTCCATTTATACAAATTCCAAATCAGGAACATGTTTTAATTACTGGTTTATGTAAACCCTTATCTTCAGCTGTTGAATTTGAGCACGCGCATCCGTGAGGGTACTTTCTACCAAAACTGAGAGCAGCACTATCAAGGGACTTCAATCTTTCAAGCTGCAAGGTTAGCACTCTGATAAACCTATCCTTTGATATGCTAGGAGCATTGGCATGGAAGCTTTTGCCCATTTTTTCATTTTGTTTTTTCTTTTCCTTTCCCTTAAATGATAATGCCATGAAAACGTTCTTTTTCCTCGTGATTTTACTTCAGTCTCTGGAGTGCTACTTGGTTTTTGTTTATCTCCCTGCAATTGAAATTAGGGAATTGAAACGAACCATGGTTGATCGTTACTCGATTATGATTTGATTGCGTTTACATATATGGTTCTTTTAGGGCTTTCACTCAAGGTTTTAAAATGCGTCCACTGACCTTCATAAGAAATATCTTGTTCCATTTTCCTACCGATGTGGGATTTCTCAATTCCCACCCCCTTGGGGGGCCAGCGTCTTCGCTGGCACACCGCCAAATGTCTGGCTCCTCCGATATCATTTGTTATGACCCAAGCTCTATTGTGTCCTCTTTCGATTTTCCCTCAAAGTTTTAAACACCTCTATTAGATAGAGGTTTCCACACCCTTACAAGTAATGTTCTTTATCCTCTCCAACCGAGGTGGAATCTCACACTAACTCTCGAAGGAAATCAACTATGGGGTATTTATTGTCTTCGGCCCTCTCTCTCTCTCTCTCTCTAAATGTTTGGATTCCCATATGCCAGATTCTATGCCTTTCTTCTCTCTTTTCTTTCATTCTACTTCTCACTCTCTTTTGTGGATCGCAATATGTTTTCCAAATTTTTTCCACTGCAAAAATTGATCCCAAAATCATCCTGATTGATCTGAAATATGAGTTTTTTCGGTTCTTTATGGCTTCCCTTGAGAATCCAAACCCTTATCCATCGGATCCTCCATTTGAGTCACCATTTTAAACACTAAACCCTCGTGCTTTTTCTTAGAAAAATCTTACTTTTTTTTTTGGTTTCATTTTTTTTTTTTTTCCAAGTATAAAAAGATAATAATTAAATAAATTTGAAAAGAAAAAAACTGAATAAAGAATTTCTTTAGAAAGTGTATTTTAAATTAATTGGAAATATAAAAAACACATTCCTCTGAACATCTCAATTTCATTTTCCATTACAAATGAAAGAAACATCACCAACTACGTTGTGATGTGCTTCCGGCGTTCATCAATCTGCCATAGACAGAGAGTATGAATTTTGAGATTCTTTTTTTTTTTAAGCGCTAAAAAAGTCAATTCAAATAGATTTAGATACAAAAATCGATGAGTTGAGCTCAATTAATATTCAGTGTTGTTTCTCCCTGTTATGATATTTTTTCTCAACAACGTTGTTTGATCTGAATTTAACTCTCTTGTTTTTATTTGTGATACGTTGCATGATTACGAACATATATAGAATTATGAGTAATAATAACCCCACATTACAAATGCCCACAAATATAATCATTCTTGCACCATCCATATGCCTTAAGATTCAAGCAAAAATAGTGGTTGGCCGCTGAATTTGAGAGCAATCAAGCATGCACCACGATTCATTGGGATACAATCATGGCGTATTAGCCATTTTTACAACTATCATTAATAAATTAAATTTTCTATATGAAAAAGTTATATAATTAAACATAAATACCATCTTGTACATCAACTTTTTATATCTCTTTCCCCACTTTAATTCATCATCTTCCACTCTATTCGGGATTTCATAAGATTTTTCGATAGTTCCTCTAGAATATCAAATATATGTTATGTTTGTTGGTGTGAAACGGTTAAAAAATGAAAAATAAAAATAATAATTAGTAAGAACATTGTGAGTGAACTTTGCATCCCATTTACTCAAAATCAAGTCTATTCATTATTCTATATAAACCCACAAAGCCCAGATTCTTGGAATCATCAAAATCAGAGAATTTGATCTCTCGCAATTCAAATGAAAATGTGTCTCAAAATCCTGATACCCATCTTCGCATTTCACCTAATTCTCACAATCGTCGTGGCCTCAGATCCCGACCCACTTCAAGATTTCTGCATTCCAAATCCCAAATCCACAAAAAAAGACGACCTTCCATGTAAGAATTCAACCGCCGTCACCGCCGACGACTTCGTCTTCTCCGGCGGAAAATCTGCCGGACCCTTCTCGGAAAGTGGGTTCGCAACGGTAGCGGCAAACCCATCTCTTTTCCCGGGATTGAACACGCTGGGAATGTCGTTCGTACGCGCGGATTTCAAGGAGGGGGCCATAAATCCGCCGCACGTGCACCCACGCGCAGCGGAGATGGTGTACGTGGTTCAGGGGAGGGTGTACGCCGGATTTGTTGACTCGGCGAACCGGATGTACGCGAAGGTGATCGGAGAAGGGGAAGTGATGGTGATTCCGAGGGGGCTGGTGCACTTTCAGATGAACGTGGGGAAGGGAACGGCGACGGTTTTTGGGTGTTTTAATAGTCAAAATCCGGGGACTCAGAGAATGGCGTCGGCCATATTTGGGTCTGGGATTAAAGAGGAGCTTTTGGAGAAGGCTTTTGGTTTGAGTTCCAAGGAGCTTAGGAGGATGAGGAGACGGTTCGAATCTTGAGAATTCTCTGTTCTGTTCTGTTTTTTTTTTTTTTTTTTTTTTTTTTTTTTAAGTTCCTAATCAATGGATAAATTTGAGTTTTTTCTTTTAACCATTATTAAATTGGTGTTTTGTAATTTCCGAGATTTCCAAGTCCTTATGAGAAAAGTTTCAAGGTTTGTTCCCCTCTCCAAAGGTTGCTGGTCATTATGAAAAATGTTTCATTTCTCTCTTCGACCTACTTGAGATCTCACAATCCACTCTCTTTGGAGGTCAACGTCCTCTCCACATTGGCAGATGAGGCCAACGTCCTCTACACTCTTATAAAAAAAATGGTTTGTTCTCCTCTCANTTTTTTTTTTTTTTTTTTTTTTTTTTTTTTTTTTTTTTTTTTTTTTTTTTTTTTTTTTTTAAGTTCCTAATCAATGGATAAATTTGAGTTTTTTCTTTTAACCATTATTAAATTGGTGTTTTGTAATTTCCGAGATTTCCAAGTCCTTATGAGAAAAGTTTCAAGGTTTGTTCCCCTCTCCAAAGGTTGCTGGTCATTATGAAAAATGTTTCATTTCTCTCTTCGACCTACTTGAGATCTCACAATCCACTCTCTTTGGAGGTCAACGTCCTCTCCACATTGGCAGATGAGGCCAACGTCCTCTACACTCTTATAAAAAAAATGGTTTGTTCTCCTCTCAAACCGACGAGATCTCACAATCTATCTCCAAATGTTTCCCTCTCCAACCTACATGGAATCTCACATTCATCCTCTTCAGGGGGCAGCGTCCTAACACATCACGTGGTGTATGGCTTTGATACCATTCGTCACCCTCACTCACAATTTTAAAATGTATCTTTTAGACGAAAGTTTCTATACTCTTGTAAACAATATTTCATTCCAATGTGAAATCTCACCATATTCTTGTATCTACCTCTAGTTTTAATGGGTGAAACTAATCGTTTATTTTTTGAAATTTTTCCTCATTTTTGTATGTAAATATATTTTTTAATTTCTATTGAAGAAGGTAAAACATATTAATAAATTCAATAATACAATTACGTCTGGGACACCAAAGATATTCCCACGTCCAAACTTCTTCCTTCAACCTACTTTCTTCACAAACATCCCTCTCATAAGCTCTTCCACGAACAAAACTTTAAATACTCACTTAATCTAAGATCCAATACTCAAGTCGCCAACGGACATTTAAAAAGATCTAAAACATATTTTTTTGAATTCATATTTATTCGGTTGAAATCTATTACACACAAAATAAAAAAGGGAGGTTAATGTATCACATGTTAAATACCAGCTAAGAAGGGAACATAAAGAATATATATATATATAAAAGGTACTGGCAGAGTTGTAATGGGAAGGAAACCTTTTCCAGTTAAGTGAAGAAGTTATAAATAAAGGAGTGTTCTTGGAAACCATGTTTGCATAAAGAAACTGTCTTTTCTAACCTCAAACAAAACTAAAAGGAAAAGGAAAAGGAAAAGGAAAAGACCCTTTACTCCATGCCTCTCTCTCAAATGGCAACAAAAATGGCCGAGCAGCCTCTGGTTCTGGGAAGAGTGATCGGAGATGTGGTGGATCCCTTCATCCCAACCATTAAAATGTGTGCCACTTTCAGCAACAAGCAAGTCCTCAACGGCCATGAATTCTTCCCCTCTTCCCTCTCCTTCAAGCCCAGGGTTCTCATTCAAGGAGAAGACATGAGATCCCTGTTCACTCTGGTAACCTTCAATTCTTTCTACCCCTTCTTCTTTCTAAATTTGACCCTTTTTTGTTGTTGTTCTTGCTTAGATCATGGTTGACCCAGATGTCCCTGGCCCTAGTGATCCATACATGAGGGAACACCTTCACTGGTATTTCAGCTACAATGTGCAATAACATCTTTCTCTGAGGACTAGAGTTGCAAAAAACATAACTTTCTTGAAAACCCATTTCCAAAAATGGATTTTTTAAAAAGGGTATCTAACAAAATTCGAAATGGTTACCAAATTCTTGGTCTTTTTTTTCAGGTTGGTGACTGACATTCCAGGAACTACGGATGCTACTTTTGGTAATAGGGTTATTTCCTTTGGTTATCATTCATTAAAAGGGAATGAAATGAAGAGATTTGATGGGTTCTTTTCTTTTTCTTTTTTTGGGTGAGACAGGAAAGGAATTAATGAGCTATGAAATTCCAAAGCCGACAATAGGAATCCACAGGTTTGTGTTTGTTCTGTTCAAACAAAAACGGCGTCGTTCAGTGAACCCTCCATCTTCAAGGGATCGTTTCAACACTCGAAGATTTTCAGCTGAGAATGATTTGGGTCTTCCTGTGGCTGCTGTTTATTTCAATGCACAGAGAGAAACTGCTGCAAGAAGGCGATAGAATAATAAGAATTGTTCTTATGTTGTTCCTCTTATAAAACCAAATTTCAGTTGAAACACAACCTAAGCTAATCACTATCGTTCCAATTTTATCGGATGTTTCGAAAAAATTATGTTTTTTACATAAAGTTTGTGAGAGAGTGTGTTAGGAAAGGGTAAGAGTTGAGACGAACAGTGGATGGTTTGAATCATGCAAGAGAATCTCTTTGTACTCTTTGATGTAACGCTTAACACAAGACCCAGATGACATAGTAAATAATGTTTGCATGAAAACAAATTTTTTCATATAAATTGAGTTTACTTTAAATTTGGATTTTTGCATTATGTTAATGTTAGATCATCGAAATGCACGTTAACCTAATATTTTTAGTCTAGTTTCGAGAATTAGACTAAAAGAAGTATAGCTAGTTTGCCCTAACGAATGAGAATTTTAAGATTTTTAGTGTTAAATACCACATTGGTTGGAGGATGGAAACAAAACAGTTTTATAAGGGTGTGGAAACCTCTTCATATGTAGGCTGACGGCAATAGATAATAAACCAAAGTAGACAATATATGCTAGCAGTGAGTTTTGGCGATGCGTAATAGACCAAAGTAGACAATATATGCAAGAGGGGTGTATTATGAGTCTCAGAAGCATTCATGAATGGTGAGATCTTAGAAGCATTTCTTGCATAAAAACTTCTCCTGCAAGCTCCAAGAGGGATAGATTGTGAGATCCCATAAGCATTTTTGGATTGTGAGGTGTGAAAACTTTTCCCGAAGGCCTCCAAGAGGGGGAAATTGTTAGATCCTAGAAGCATTTTATGGATTGTGAGATCCCACAAACATTCCTTACAATGGTGTGGAAACTTATCCCTAATATATGCGTTTTAAAACTGTGAGGCTAACGGCAATACGGGTCAAAACAGACAATATTTGTTAGTGGTGGACTTGGACGGTTACAAATGATAACAAATCCAGACATTGGGTAGTGTGCTAGCGAAGCTGCTTGCTCTTAAAAAAAGATGGATTGTGAGATCCGAGGAGTCATTCCTTATAAGAGTGTGGAAACTTCTCTCTAACATCCGCGTTTTAAAATCGTGAGGCTAACGATTATATATAACAAGTCAAAATGAACCATATCTATTAGGTGTAGATTCAAATAACTCTTATTTGGGAGGGAAAGCAAAAGAGGGAAGATAGATGGAAGGGTAAGGCAAAAGAGAAATTAAGGGAAGGAATGAAATTAATCGTGAGTCTTGGTGGGACGTATGATCTGCAGTAACTTTTTGACGTGCCGAAGTCTAACCAGTTGTTATTGTCTTTGAAATGTATGAACGGTTGGAGTTTTCATCTAAAAGCAACGCCACAGGCACAGGCAAAGGCAAAGGCACAGGCACACACAGACGCTGAAAAGGGGCTTAGACATGTGCCATTGCTATCCCATCCATCGCCCTTCCATCCTTTCAACCCCTCTTATCGCCTTAGCCTGTTTGTCAGTTTGGTACTCTTTTCCTACTTTCTCATCATCCACTTGTCTCACTCTTTCTTTTAACCTCTTTTACCTTCCTTCTCTATTATTCATTTCATCTTTACTGCCCTCTCCTATCAATCCCGTCTTCCGTATCTCGAAAAATTATTCAACGACCCCTTAGTAATTACGATCATCTCATAAGAACATACAATATCATTCAATGATCTTTTTGTTTTCGATTTACAAAACAAATCTCTATTATTGGTGTTTTTATTGATCTGGTTCGATTCTCCGATCCCTCGAAATTTGTGTACAATTTTAGACATGTCTATATCTCATGAGGGGCATGACTTTATTACTACGTCCCATTCACTTCGATCATGATGAAATGTGGTCATGTCTAGAAAACATGTTTTCTTACATTTCCCTCGTATGTGTAACGCTATATAAATTGAAAATATATTTCATTTGTTCACTTTATTTTCAATATTAATTGGTGGCTTGATAAGAGGATTTTTGAAGAATTCATATTCTACAAGCAGGGTCAGAAGAGAGGCTTGTAAATGAGAACGAATCGCCAACGACAGCTACATCGTCGTTGTTCCTGTGCCATGTCCACAGCGCATGTGTCGCGTCCGACACCTCAAACTGGCCATGTCCGAAGCTCGCTTCCCTTAATACTGAAATCGTTGGCTTTGGATCGATGTACCTACAAAAGATTAAATTTATTGTAACCATCCACTTAAACTTTTGAGTCAAACGTGTAGTATTCAAATAGAACGTTGTGTGTTTGAACATAGTATTACTTTTTCGCAAGGCCTTCACGGTTGCCACCGTCCCCGATATTGATATATACCGGAGCACAATTGTTCGCTTTCCCATCATAAACACGAGTCTGCAATAACAAAATGATCAAAAGGATGTACGACATATTGAGTTCTTACAAATAATGGTATGATTGTTAGAGAAACTTACGAAGCGCTCGTACGCATGGACATGTCCAGCAAACACGACGTCGACTCGAGCTTGATAGAGCAAAGATTCCATGGATGCCTTCATGCCAACAGACTGTTTCTCTCCCTGGTGAGCAGTGTTGGAGTTATACCATGGAGCATGAATAAGCACCACAATCCATGGTGTTTTTGAGCGATCAATCTTTTTCAAATCCGCTTCAAGCCATTTGTACTGAGCTGAATCCGTGTCGAAATCGGTATAAGATCCCAACATGATAACGTGCACGCCCGCCGTGTCGAATGAATAGTAAAGGTTGGACGTCGACGAGCTTTGCTCGAAAGGCATGTGCCATCTTGCATTGTATGCTGTGAAAGGCTCAGGATGAACCACTGGTATGTGCTCTACTTCATGGTTGCCTTGAGTCACCATCCATGGCCTTTGGCTAGCCAATGGCTCGACGAGCCTGCCGAACGAGTCCCA